ATCACATCCCGCAATTACCATCTCCCTGTAATTCTCGCTCCCTCGCGCATCCGCATATCCTCCCACACCTCGATGTCCCCCGGTATCCTCAGCAGCTCGATATGCGCACACGAGTCTCCGACAGCGACCCATATACAGGTTGCATCAGCTGCGCCGCGCGACACACCTCGCGTGATTGCCTGCTCGCAGCGGGCGAGGTGCGGCTCCGGCCCAACCTGTGCGTGCAGAATCCGCTCCAAGCCGACAGCGTGATGCTGCCGGATGTCCTCCGCCCGCTCACCAGTCTCGAAGTATGAACCGCGCTTGCTGAACAGCCGAGCGCCGGCATCACCGCCACATCGTCGCTAGGTTAGCAATCATCCTTAGCGACCGCAGTAGTCTTCCCAGTCAGTCGTAAATCTTATCCTCGCACTAGGTAACGCTCCGGCACACTCTTGCGTATCGGCGCGCTGAACGCGCCTTCGTCGTCGATGCGGCGTAATCTCCGGCAGCACATGGTCGCCGTGAAAACCAGTCCGTCCAGCGTAACGCAGATCTCGTCCGGCGAATGCCCCGGCGCGTAAATGAACTTCAGGTCGCCCGCCGACTCGTCATTTTGCAGGCTCCGCCCCACCTCAAATTTCCTGCGAATCTCCACATGCCGCTCTTCTGCCGCTCCGCATACCCCGCTGACTGCCTCGCGAATCTCCGCAGTGCTCGCCCTGTCAGCAGTGACCACTCGCCATCCATCTCGCGCTGCAATGGCGACGACGATTGCGCTGTATGTCCCACGGATTGTACTGAAGCAGAGTGCGTGTACATCTCGTGTGCCCAGATTTCTGCGCCCGCCTCTTCTGCCAACTGCCCCGCCGCTCCGTCGTGGTCCTGGTGCCCATGCGTAATGATTACACGCTCGACGTCACGCACCTGGAATCCCGTTGCCTCGACGCCGTCCGAAAGATGCTGATAAGATCCCGTAGCCCCCGCGTCTATCAGCGTCATGCCGTCGTTCTCGAACAGGTACGCCCACGTAGGCCCCGTGCGAGAGTCATTGTCCTGTGGCACACCAATCGCGTGAATTCGCCTGCCCTGCTCCGTTGTCAGCCGGACAACCATTCGATTGCCGTCTGCGTCACCTTCGCGAACCGTCACCACATCTTTGAATTGGTTAGTCAATGCAAGTCTCCGTTCTCGGTCAAAAATCGCGCAATTAGACAAGGCAGACGATCATTCTGGAGTGGGTGGGGTGGGTGAGGAGATTTGAACTCCCGATCTCCAGGGCACAAACCTGGCGCCTTAACCGCTTGGCCACACCCACCACTCATAAGCCGATTCTAGCAGTCTGCAAACACGCTGGTCAACCATTCCCATCCAGCGCAGAACTCCCTTCCCTTCGGTGTGGAAAAGTGGGACGGGGGATGCCGAACAGGCAATATGGGCGGCAAAATCGACAACTACTTATAAGGCATTCGATCGATCTTTGCCGGCCTCGCCCTACTGAATCAGCACTTCCTCCGAGTCCTTCGTAGTGAGCGCCTCAAGTAGCTCGTCAACCATCACATCCTGCTTCGTGTGGTGGCGCAACGGCAGCGAAGGATTCACGCCGTACACATTACGCCGACCCTCTTTGCGCCGCTCTATATATCCTGCAAATTCCAAGTCCGAGATTATTTGTGCGTCGTGCGCTCCGTAACACCAATGTAATTCGCTATCTCGCGGGCGGTGCTACGCGGATTATGGAATATGAAAGAAAGAACCACCCGTGGTTGGTAATGAAGGTCCATCGCGGAGTTGTGGTCACAAGCGCATCTCCACTTTCGCATTAGGTCAACTAAATCTTATCATAGCGCTCATACCCGCACAACAGCGCCGTGCCGCATGGTCTTTCGATTGTCGCGGGCTATGAGTAATCCGTTCATGTGAGCTCATCGAACTATGAGAGCGCATGCCTGCCCATGCGCCATCAACCCTGCCCAGAACATTAACCGGCTGACTAACCGCAAAACTAATCGACTTTCACCCCTTGACACTTCAAACATCCGTACGTATCATAGTCAGAGGCAAAAGCACAATTGTTCGTTTTGAGTGCAAAGCAAACACAAAAGGATATTACACCGTGCCGTCTGTAACCGCTGTTTATATTTCTGAAACGTCAAAAACCGTGAGCTGAAGACCATGACCATTGCAGGCAGCATAAAATCCTTGACCAAAGATGGACACACCATCGCCAAGTTCCTCGTCAACACGATGGAGGGACAGACCGACGGCGTCAAAGTCCACCACAGGCTAGATGCTGCCAAGCAGCTCATCAGGTACGGCTTCTCAGAAGAAGACTCAAACTTCTGGGGCCTCATACCGACACCCGAAGAACTGGCTGTCAAGAGGAAAGATAAGGAACCCACACCCGAACGTCCCACGCGTCAGGTGACGTTCCTCGATATCCTGAACTTCGACATCGCCCGGCAGATTCGCGACGAAACGGACGATGGCCACCTCATGGTAGAGTTCCTCGTCAAGGTGATGAACGGTCAGCAGCGACCATTTATAGACAACAAACAGCGCATCAAGCCCGCGGACAGGATGGCGGCAGCAAAGGAACTGCTCAACAGGGGCTTCGGCAGCTTCGGTTCATCGCATTCGCGTCTGTCAGAAAAGAAGGACGACTACGACACGATCCACGAGGACATCTCGCAGCGCATCCGGCAGCACACAGAGTACGGCAGCGACATAACCCGCTTCCTACTCGATGTGATGGCAGGACAGCTGCACGAAGACGGCTTCACGATGAGCCACCGCGTGGGAGCGGCTAAGGAGCTTCTGCGCCGCGCCTATGACATCAACTTCGACGGCGTAACCTGGGAGCAGGTCGAAGGCTACTGGCGTGCCCAGCGTCCCATAGGATGGACCGAAGAAGACGAACGCAAGCTGCAGAACGAACTCACATCCGAACGCGTCACGGCAAAGCACGCTTCTCCCGCGGCCTCTTCTCCCACAACGGTAGAAGGGCCGAATGAGCGTTTGGAAGTCCCTTCTTCCCCTCCACCGATGTCAGAGTCGGACTACAACCCGACTGTCATGTGTGCGTCGAAAGACAAAGGCACTGGTAAGACTGCCGAACATGTAGACCAACTAGCGACAATCCCAGCATTCAACGCCACAAAAGACATAGGAGACGAACAAGCCGCCCTTGATACCGAAACTAGGTACTACGGCAGAGATACCGACACCACTTCCCCACCCATCCCGTCGAAAGAGGATGCCCCTGCGAAAAGCAGGAGCCGAGAACATTGAGGCAATCGAAGAACCCACTTACTACGAATGCGGCCCCTCCGACTCCGACCCGACAGTGGACTACTTCTACGAACCCCTGAGTCCCGAGGATCAGGCAAAGTTCGACGAAGAAGACAGGCGCGAATACGGCATATTCGAGGAGGAATCGAGCGAGAACCGGACAACCAACCCAACCCTAAGAGACGTGTCCAACCGCCTCGCGCATATAAAGGAAGCCGCGGCAATCTACGGCACTCCCGTCCTCCCCAACCCGCTCGCCCGAAAGGTCAAGAAGCCCACCATTCGCAGCCCCTAAAGTTGCTTCCTGAGGAAGGGAGACAACCGTGGGCGGGGGTCAAAACTTCGGTTGTGATGGACTTGAACCACCTGAGCCTTCTATGTCCAGGTGACAACCGACAACTCACCGATTTGAAACCGAATACTGACGGCTGACCCCCGATGCATTATCTCCCTAACCCGACAGATCAACACACCAGCTGCACCAGTCGTCCTCACCCGGCACGCCTGTCGCGCCCTTCACAGTGGCGCCATTGCTGCCCACGCGCCCCGCGCATTCCAGCGATGTCCAGGTGCACCCACGGCGCCCCGTCATTGAACTCGCCGATTATCAGCGCGCCCGTGATAGACCCTGCGCCGCGACCGCCCGTGTTCTTGATGTCCGCAATGTCGCTGCTGTACTGCGACTTGTACTCATCGAACATCGGCAGAGGCCATGCCCTATCCCCCACCGAATTGGCGGCGCTAACCACCTGCTGCGTGAACTCATCGTCGTTGCCGAAGGCGCCCATGCACTGGTCACCCAGCGCTACCGACATCGCCCCCGTCAGCGTGGCAACGTCCACCAGCCGGTTCAACCCAACCGACCGCGCGTAAGACATCGCGTCCGCCAGCACCAGCCTGCCTTCGGCGTCCGTATTGTCAATCTCGATAGTCTTGCCGTTCATCGCCCGCACCACGTCGCCCGGACGCTGCGCAGTACCGCTCGGCATGTTCTCCGTCGCCGGAACTATGACCGTAACATTGATCTTTGGCTTCAGTCGCGCAATAGCCTGCATAGCCGCAATAACCGAAGCGCCTCCCGCCATGTCGCCCTTCATAGTTGACATGCCCGCCGCGTTCTTGATGTCCAGGCCACCGCTGTCGAAGGTGATGCCCTTCCCCAGCAGCCCGATGTTGTTCTCCTCATCATCCACATCCCCGTTGTAACGCATGATGATAAACTTCGGCGGCTCTTCACTCCCCTGCGCCACACCCAGCAGCGCGCCCATGCCCAGCTCCTCCATCCGCGCCCGCTCCAGCACTTCAAGCTCCACACCATGCGTGTGAGCAACTTTCAGAGCCTGCTCTACCATGTCCGACGGCGTCATATTGTTCGCAGGCTCGTTCGCCATATCCCTGCAGAAGTTCACCGCCTCCCCTATCACGCAGCCTTCGCTCACGCCCTTTTGCAGCGCATCCACTTTGGATTCGTCGAACTCCACGATCGTCATCTCGCCTAGTCCGCCCTCTGATGCGTTCGACTTGTACTTGTCGAAGCGATACATCCCCATTACCACGCCCTCAGCCAACGCCCGCGCGCTCGCTCGGTCGTCCAGCCCCGCAATCCCTGCGCCATGCACGATGGTCGCCGCAGCCTCCACGCCGATGCCGCTCAGGTGGCGCGCGCTATTCGCCGCCACGTTCCGCACCCCATCCAGCGTAAACGACTCCGACTTGCCCAGCCCGGCAACTAGCACTCGCTTCGGCGCAATCGTCCCCAGCGTATGAATTACCGTGATCTCGCCACGCTTCCCCTTGATCTCGCCGTCCGCAATGAGTGCTGATATTGCCCCGCCCATCGCGCGGTCAACCGCCCCTGTCGCACCAGCCGGCGCAGTGACTCCCTCGAAGAGATTCACCACAACCGCTCCCACATCTTGCTGCGCTATGTCGCCTGCAACCACATTGATCTTCAATTCGATCCTCCTTTGTTCACACAATTCGCCGATATTATATGCCAGCCTGCTCCACTTCTGCTATCCTTGCATTGGTCAATCAGACCTACGATCCAGCACGACTAAAAGGAGCGACCCAGTGGCAGAGCGCACTATATCCGCAGCAGAGTCCGAACTGATTCAGAGAGCCCATCGTGTCATGCCCGGCGGTAGCCTTGGCAACATCGGCAGGGATATCGTAATCGCCGAAGGCAAGGCAGGCAGGGTACGCGACGCAAGCGGTAACGAGTACGTGGATTATCTTCTCGGTTCAGGTCCCATGCTCATTGGCCACGCCCACCCGGAGGTCACTGAGGTCGTCCGCGAGCAGATTGAGAAGGGTACGACCTTCTTCGCCAATAACGAACAGGCTATACTTCTTGCGGAAGAGTTGGTTAGCGCGGTAGCTTGCGCCGACAAGGTGCGCTTCACCAGCAGCGGCACGGAAGCTACATTCTATGCTCTGAGGACTGCGCGCGCTTACAGAGGTCGCGACAAGATTCTGAAGTTCGAAGGCGGCTTCCACGGCATGCACGACTACGCCCTGATGAGCATGTCGCCCGCCAACCCGCACGACTTCCCCCGCCCAACTCCCGACTCCGCTGGCATACCCCGTTCCATTCAGGACGAAGTCCTGATTGCGCCCTTCAACGACCTTGAAACCGCAACTGCGATAATCGAGGAGCATCACGGCGAACTCGGCGCAGTGATTGTCGAGCCGTTCCAACGACTACTGCCGCCAAAGCCCGGCTTCCTGCAGGGCTTGCGCGATGTAACCGCTCAGTACGGTGTCCCATTGATCTTCGACGAGGTGGTGACGGGATTCCGCTTCGCTTACGGCGGGGCGCAGGAATTCTACGGCGTCGAGCCCGACATGTGCTCGCTCGGCAAGGTTATCGCTGGCGGATTCCCATTGGCAGCCGTTGCGGGCAAGGAAGAAATGATGTCGCATTTTGATGCTTCATCCACGGAGGCAGACGCCTATCTCCCACAGATAGGCACACTCAGCGGCAACCCAGTCGCGTCTGCCGCCGGTCTCAAGACACTTGAAATTCTCCGGCGCGAAGGCACTTACGAGCGCATATTCGCTACGGGCAATCGCCTCAGGAATGAACTCCAGCGCATGCTCAGCGAAGCCGAGCTTCCCGCCAGAGTCGTCGGCGAAGCGCCACTATTTGACGTCTTCTTTACGGAGCAGGAAATTACTGACTACCGATCTACTCTGCTCGCGGACAAGCAGATGCTTGGGCGATTCAATGAACTCTTGCTCGCGCGCGGCGTTCTGAAAGGCGACACCAAGTTCTATGTCTCCCTCGCTCACGACTCGGCCGATGTTCAGCACACCCTCGATGCTTTCGCCTCGGCCATTGAAGAGTTGAAGAGCTAACGTACACGCCTGAACGCCGATTATGTGTTCTGACCGCATATTCGGCGTTCCCACGTAGATTTGCCAGACCGCAGCAAAGGCTGTGCCATTGTCGCTTGATGCAAGGCAAAAGCAGTTACGATATTCGTAACTTCCATCTTGTTTTGAGCGAACAACTATTCACCAATTGCAATTCCTTGCATTTTTCTCTTTGTATTTCTCCAAAACTTGTATTAAATTCTGATTGACTTGTTTCAGGGATAAAGACTATGTTTTATACACGGAGAAGGGAAGGTTTACGGGTTGAGGTTGTTGTCTGGCGGACTATCTAGGCTTTCCATCTCCTGCGATCAGCTCCCGAAACTCCTGGGTTAGAACGCAGTCCTATTTATTGGTTAGCGATTGCAATCGTACCCAGGGTGGCTTCACTTCCGGAGCGGTCTTTTCATTAAACCTTGTATTTATGGCGTTCCTTTCGCCCGGCGACGCCTATAGGAGATTGCTATGAACCTTGGAACGACCACGATCGATGTTGTCAGCGATGGCACATTTCTGATGGACGGCGGCTGCTTATTTGGGCAGATACCCAAGACCGAGTGGGAACTTCAAATTAAACCCGACCGGCGGAACCGCATTCGTTTAGCGCTCAATTGCATGTTGATTCAAACTCCCGAGTTCAACGTCCTGGTTGACACGGGTGTTGGCTCTAAGCGTCAGGACAAGATGAAGGAGATGATTCGTCTGAACGGCAACAAGCTGCTAAAGGGTTTGAAAGCGAAAGGCATAACTGCCCGCGACATTGACGCTGTCATTCTCAGCAACCTGCACTTTGACCATTCTGGAGGCTGTACTAAATTGGACCGATCAGGTACACCTGTGCCCACCTTCCCCAAAGCTAGGTATCTTGTACAGAAGAGCAGCTGGCAGGAAGCTAATTCACCTAACGAGCGCTACAGGGATATCTTCCATGAGGACGATTTCTTGCCACTTGCCGAGCGCGATATGCTTGAGTTCATTGATGACAAGCACGAAGTACTCCCCGGACTGACGGTTAAGGTGACCAACGGGCCGTCAGATGGTCATCAGATTGTACTGGTGGAACGTGGCAGCGAGAAGATTGCCTATGTCAGCGACCTTATACCTACGCCATACCACCTTCCCCTGCCCTACATCCCTGCAATGCACGAGTATCCTAATACTACGCTAGAGCAAAAGCGGGAGTTCATTGACATGGCGGTCGAAGGCGGTTGGTTAGTTGTTTTCGGTCATGCCTACGAGCAGAACGCAGGCTACATAGTTCAGAAGAACGGCGCCACTCAATTCTTGCCAGTTGAGGTTTAATTCCAATGGTCTGACATCTACATCTTAGGGACAGATAGAACCAACAAAATGGAAAGGGGCGCTATTTGAGCGCCCCTTTCCATTTGCATTGTGCTAGACAATTTCGGCGCGCACAGTTCCTTCGACATCTAGGCTCGCCAGCATTGCCGGCGCAATGACATTGAGGAGTGGGAGATTACTCTTCGACTTGACACGGATGTAGTTGTCGGTCAGCCCTGTCCATTGGATCGCTCCCTCATCGGCGATCTGGCTCTCCCACAGTACGGACCGCACAGTGCCAAGCGAGCCTTGTCTGAACTGATTTGCCATAGACTTGCCAAGATTCAGCAAGGCATGCATGCGTTCGCTCTTGGCGGGGAACTCCAATTGATCGTCGTAGTACGCAGCGCTGGTGCCGGGGCGCATTGAATAGGGAAACATATGCAAGTCAGCGAAACCTATACTCTCACATAGCTCGTAAGTCGCCCTGAAATCTGCGTCAGTCTCGCCGGGAAACCCCACAATGACATCGGCGGTTATGCTTGCCTGAGGTATCCTCTCGCGAATTCGCTTTACAGTTTCGACATAGTCTTCTGCGGTATAGCGGCGCCTCATCATCCGCAATATCGAGTTGCTGCCGCTCTGCAATGGCATATGAAAGTGCGGACACAGTCGTTTGTCGCTCCATAACGCCAATAGGTCATCAGTAATCTCCCTAGGTTGGAGAGATGAGACCCTCAGGCGTTCAATGTTGCAACGAGACAGGATGGTTGCAATAAGCAATCCAAGTGACGCCCCGACTAGGTCAAAACCGTACGACCCAAGTTGAGTTCCTGTAAGCACTACTTCTTTGTAACCCTTGGCCGCAAGTAGCTGAATCTCACCCACCAGTGCCTCTGTGGGTATGCTGCGTTCTCTGCCACGAACTTTTGGCACGATACAATAGGCGCAGACCTGGTTGCAGCCTTCCTGTATCTTCACCATTGCTCTGGTGCGTCCGATACGCGGGCTGATGTAATCGGCTTCATCCCCAATAGCGCATGGTACAGCGTGTTCGCCTCTCCATTCGACAATCTGTTGCACTAACCGCGGCTTGTCAACATTACCGAATACAAGGTCAACCTCGTCCATTGCACTAAGCTGACCAGGTGTACGTTCGGCATAGCATCCCGTAGCCACAATTGTTGAACCAGGATTACGGCGCCTTGCCGCCCTGAGTGACTGCCGAGCCTTCCGGTCGGCGACATGCGTAACCGTGCAGCTGTTTACCACGTAGACATCAGCAGGCTCATCGGTGCTAACTTGCCTCAACCCTGCCCCGGCAAACTCCCGCGCGAGTACCAGAGTGTCCGCCTGGTTGAGCTTGCATCCATGGGTTTCTATTGCGAATGTAGCGCGGGTTTGGCTAGTTTCAGTCAAAGGTAATTCCTTCTATGTTCGAAGTGTTGCTATGCTATTATATGAACTTGTCGAACAGGCGGTCAATTCAGACTATGCACTCCCTATATCCGGGTTTCTAAGTATGGTAATGCGCGAAAACGATTGGACTTAGATGGACATTGATGTGGCCGATCAAGGGACGCCCGAATGGATTGAGCGCGCCCGCCGCATGGTTGAATACCACTCGGAAGCTCTAGGATTCATCGAGCGAGCTTCGGAACATTTCGCCACCAATCCCGAGCATGCCCAACTTCTACTGCGCCTATGGGTCGAAGCAGATATCCTAGACGGAATCGTACTGCAAGCTTTGGATGAGCTGAATGTTGGGCTATTGGATGGTCGAGGCGAATTGGATACGACCCGTGGTGTGACGATGCAGCCATCTGCGTTAGGGGTGCTCGGCGATATGAGTGCTGATGAAGAGATCACATACGAATGTATCTGGTCGCTGATCTGGGGAGCCGGCCGTGGTGTGTCAGTGACGCTGTCCGCAAATGACAATGGCGTCTACCAAGTTCAGGCGCGCGGCACCTCATCTTTGCGTGAGCACCGAGTTGGTTATCCCGTTACAATTGGCGCTCTCCAGGATGCACTTGTCAACGTCTATGTAGCGGAGGCAACCTCAATATGATCACCTGTTTCTTTTGATAGTATCCATACAGCAGCAATACTGCTATAGTTCACGATGTAGCGAGTCTTGAGGAGCCACCTGGGACCCGGATGAGGTTCGTAGGAAGTCCAATAGGATTTAATATTGGCAAATGACCCGAGACAGCGCACTAAACAGACTGGAGCATAATTCACATGAAGAACCGAGTAGTCGTAACTGGGATCGGGATAGTCAGCCCATTGGGACTGGATCGTCAGTCCACCTGGCATAATCTGATCGCTGGTAAATCCGGTGTCGCTCCAATAACCTCATTTGATACGGAGGGCTATCGCACTACCATCGCCGCTGAGGTAAAGGGCTTCGACGCGGCGGCATTCGTCGGTAGGAAGGAAGCGCGGCGGATGGACAGGTTCGTGCAGTTGGGGGCGGTGGCTGCCCTTGAAGCAGTTGAACACGCCGGGCTCAAGGTCACTTCCGACAATTGCACTCGCGTCTCGATAATGATTGCGAGCGGTATCGGCGGAATCATCACGCTCTCTGAACAGGTTGGCGTTCTGGGCTCTCGTGGACCCTCGCGCGTCAGCCCTTTCTTGGTGCCTATGATGCTCCCCGACATGGCGTCTGGGCAAGTGTCGATTATGCTCGGAGCCAAGGGACCGAACTACTCCACTGTATCTGCTTGTTCCAGTGGGGCAGACTCCATTGGCCAGGCCCTTGAAGTGTTACAGGAAGGAGACGCTGATGTAGTTCTCGCTGGTGGCGCAGAGGCAGCGATATGCCCCATCGGAGTTGCTGGCTTCAATGCTTGCCAGGCGCTTTCGACCCGTAACGATGATCCCAAGGGTGCATCTCGTCCATTTGACGCCGAACGAGACGGGTTCGTAATCGGTGAAGGCGCTGCCGTAATTGTGATGGAGACATTGCAGAGCGCAGTCAAGCGCGGAGCAACGCCGCTGGTAGAAATTGTGGGATACGGCTCCACCGCTGATGCCAATCATATTACTCAGCCTGCACCGGAAGGTGAAGGTGCGTCGCGCGCAATGAAGATTGCCATCAAGAAAGCCGGATTACAGCCGGATGAGATTGGATATGTGAACGCGCACGGCACATCGACGCCACTTAACGACAAATACGAGACAATGGCCATGAAGGGCGTATTCGACGAGGAAGTTTACAGAGTTCCCATCAGCTCCACCAAGTCTATGACTGGGCACTTGCTCGGAGCGAGCGGTGCGCTTGAGGCTGCTATTACAACGCTTGCCATATCTGAAGAGACAATACCGCCGACCATTAACTTGAAGAATGCCGATCCTGAATGTGATCTAGATTACACGCCGCATATTGCAAGGCAAGGGCGTATCAATGCTGCGCTCAGTAACTCTTTTGGTTTCGGCGGTCATAATGCCTCTCTAGCCTTCCAGCGATATGAAGAATAGAAAAATCGCCGATCTGCATCTTCGGTGTTCCGATCGAAGATGCAGATGATAGGCGCGATGAGCAAGCGCTGGGAATTGCGCGACTTCCCTCCAATGGGATTTGCCAGACAGGTGGGCTTTCCTCCATTCCATGCTCATCTCCTTTACAACCGAGGCATTCGTTCCTCAGAGGATGCCGACCTCTTTCTCAATCCTGATGCGCGGCTCAGGCACGACCCCTGGTTGCTCCCTGAAATGGACAAGGCTGTTGCCCGTTTGAAGCGCGCGCTAGAGGCGGGCGAACATATTGGCATTTTTGGAGACTTCGACGCGGATGGTATCACTGGCACCGCTCTGCTGACGACAGCACTCAGGGACCTGGATGCGAGAGTAACGCCTTATATTCCGGACCGTGTTGCTGAGGGACATGGCCTAAATGCTGATGCCATCGAGAGGCTGAGCGAAAAGGGCGTGTCCTTGTTGCTGACAGTGGACTGCGGCGCAACTTCAATTGAAGAAGTGGCCATGGCGTCGGCACTAGGCGTCGACACCATCATTACTGATCATCACAGCGTGCTGCCCACTCTTCCTGCGTCTCACGCCCTCATCAATCCCAGACACCCTGACTCGCACTATCCGTTTGGCGATCTAACGGGAGTGGGCATGTCATTCAAACTGGTTGAGGCGCTTCACGATTCCCTGGGTTTGGGTTGGCCGGAACACTTGCTGGAGTTCGTGGCGCTGGGCACTGTTGCGGATGTCGGGCCACTCAAAGACGAGAACCGTTTTTTGGTCAAGCGTGGTCTGGAACGCATCAACAGTACGGATAATCTCGGAATTCGTGCGCTTGCCGCCAGTGCCAAAGTAAAGATGGGTACCCTTGATACTGAAGCACTGTCGTTCAACATTATTCCTCGCCTCAATGTAGCAGGCAGACTTGGTAGCGCGCGTATCAGCCTGGAACTTCTGACCACCAATAGCGCCGAAGAGGCTCGCTCAATGGCTGGCGAGATAGAGAGCAAGAATCGCGAGCGGCAAGAGCTTACGCGCCGCGCCGTCGCCGAGGCGGAGCGGCAGATTGCAGGACGAAGTGAGATCCCTCCTATCCTCATCGTGAAGAGCGAGGAATGGATTCCGGGTGTATTGGGGCTAGTTGCGGGAAGGCTGTCCGAGGATTACTACAGGCCTGCGGTGGCAATATCTGTGGGCGAACATACCAGCCGAGCCAGTGCCCGCAGCATCCCGGAGTTCGACATTGTCGATGCGCTGAGGCAGAGTGCGCATCTGTTTGAGCGTCACGGCGGTCATCCGCAGGCAGCGGGTTTTACCATACGCACGGAATCGCTCCCCCAACTTGAGCGAAGCATCGATAACATCGCGACCGAACTGTTGGAAGGACTCGAACTTTCGGCATCAATTGACATAGACTGCGAGGTGCAGTTGTCTGCCTTCAGCCCTCAGAACTTCGACTTCATTCGGTCTCTCGGACCATTCGGTGAAGGTAACCCTGCGCCGATGTTCTTGACCCGCGGTGTTCGGGTGCTTGACGTTCGTCTAGTCGGCGCAAGAAGGAACCATCTAAAGATGCGATTATGGCATCGTGGCACGACGATCGACGCAATAGGCTTCAATCTGGGACATAAAGTGCAGGAAACACGGAACAACGTAGATGTCGTATTCACTGTCGGCTTAGACACCTGGGGAAGCCAGCCAAGGCTTCAGATGACAGTTCAAGACCTACGCGCCGCTCATTGATTAACCGTCGCGCTCACGCCGCCTGCGCTCGGCCCGCGACAACCTTCGTGAACGTCTTTCCGCGATCTCCTCACCCTCTGCCGCGATTTGTTCCGGAGTAGTAGGACGCGCCTTTATGACAAGTAAAGGTATAGTGATGGCCAATACTAGAATGGCAATGAAGTGCGCTTCTTGTAGTCCAAGCGTCCAAACCTTGTCCTGTCTCAGGAATGTAACGAAAAAGCGACCCACTGCATAAAGCGCTAGGTAGAGCGCGAACAGCATGCCGTCCGGCTTTATTCTATCGCGCAGTTTCCAGATGATGAACAATGCCCCTAGATTCCAAAGCATTTCATACGCAATCACTGGTTGAACGGGAACTCCCACCCCGTTGGCGCACACGCGCGCATCACTTTCTGGGCGAATCCAGTTGAATGCCAATATGAACTCCGTTGCAACTCTGGCACAATGCTCGCCGTTGACGATATCGCCAATTCTGCCAATCGACTGAACCAGCAGTAATGACGGCGCAGTGAGGTCCGCAATTACTCCAACTGGGTGCTTCTGCACTAGCGCATACGCTGCGCCTCCAATGAAGCCGCCAAGGATGGCGCCCCAGATGCCAATGCCGCCGCTCCAGATGAAAAATATCTGCAAAAGGTTGTACTGGTAGAAGCCCCAGTTATCTACCACATGCACAATGCGCGCGCCGATGATGCCGCCAAGAATTGCCCATATTGCGATTGAGTAAATATCGTCGGGGTCTATGGCCTTCATGGGTGCCCAGCGCCCCACCAAATACACGGCGGTAGCAACTGCGATAAAGCTGAAGAAGCCGTGCCAACTCAGCAAGAATGATCCTGACGAGATTAAGAATGGCCCTATATCGATTTCAATCATTTGCTACCTTTGCATGCGTCGCTCCCCAATATCCAAGGAATTGTTGCAATTTGCATTTGAACCATTCCTCTTGCAGGGGATGATAGTTAACTCACACGGCAGGTCAAAAATAGCGGTGTACAGTTCGTGTGTCAATAGAATGCAGGTCGGACAAGGCCCCTACATTATGCTAGAATGAAGATTAGTCACAATATATTTTAGGAGTGTTTAAATCTGTTGCAGAGTAGTGTAGACGGGTTTCTGGACTATATGACAGTCGAGCGTGGCGTATCGCCAAATACGCTTGCCGCCTATGGAAGTGATCTGGCCCAGCTTATTGAGTACTTGAAGACCAACTACTTCAACGGCAACGGCGGGGGATGGGAAGGCGTTGACGAGGACATGATGTCGCAGTATTACTTCATCTTCATGCATTGGAGTATTCCGATACGACTCGAGCTCGTAAAGTCGCTTCGAGCAAGTCGCTCTTCAATTTCCTGGTCGACGAAGGTATAGTTACTAGCGACCCAACCGAAAATATCAGCTCACCACGCATCGGACGCTCGTTACCGGATACGCTGAGTGCCGACGAAGTTGATAGTCTTTTGGTATCGGCATCTAAGCAGGAAACTTCGGACGGCATGCGCGACCAAGCAATGTTCGAAATACTTTATGCAAGTGGTCTTCGAGTAACCGAGCTTGTATCCCTGAATATCGCAGACCTGGACCTTGAGCAAGGCACTGTACGTTGCCTTGGAAAAGGCAGTAAAGAGCGCCTGATTCCGGTCCATTCCGGTGCAGTTGCCATCCTCCGACGTTATATCGACGAAGCGCGTCCCGCATTCACCAAGAATACCTCAGAGCGCGCCTTGTTCATGAATCGGCGAGGACAGCGTCTTAGCCGGCAGGGTTTCTGGCTAATTCTGAAGGCACAAGCCAAGCGTGCAGGCATAGCTAAAAAGATTACGCCGCATACGCTTCGCCATAGCTTCGCAACTCACCTGCTGCAGGGCGGAGCACCCCTGCGGCATGTTCAGGAGTTGCTGGGGCACTCCAGCATTACTACCACGCAAGTCTACACACATCTGACCAGCGAACATGTAAGAACCGAATACGACAAGTCGCACCCGCGGGCGCGATGAGCTCTCTGAAGCAGTTCATCTCGACGCCAGCTTGAGAAATCGTGCTTGATATTCTTCTCCACGAGTTCAGGTATTTTCAGGAGATTTTTCACAATGCCAAGCAAAGCACAACGCGCTGCATCACGACAGGCGCGACTAAGCCGCCGAAGAAGGCGCGGCAAGGCCGCACCTCAGGACTTCCAAGCAGTGCCGTCACAACCAACCGCCGTCAGTGATCCTGCTGCCGCAGTACCGAGCCGCCCGGTCAGACAAGCGTCCACCTTCAGGTCGGAAGTCGCAACCGAAGCGACGTCGCGCGCCCAACCGGCACTGCGCTCCAGGCGTCGTGGGGCAGACACAGGTACATCCAATACTAACCGATACCTCGGCCGGGAATTGCGCCAGATCGGCGCTATAACATCGCTTATCGCGGTCATTCTAGTCGGGCTGACCTTCGTGTTAGGCTAGAGCCTCAACGCCTCCGCTGAAGCTGCAATCAACCTGCGGAACAACAGAATGCCGCATATAGACTTCACTGAGCGCCTCAAAGCTACGCCCGCTAAGCCGGGAGTGTACCTTATGCGCGACAGTTCTGGGGACGTGTTGTATGTCGGCAAGGCAGCGGGACTTCGTAGTCGTGTCAGTTCATATTTCGCGTCGAGCGCAAACCTGCCGCGCAAGATTGTAAATATGGTTGGCAAAGTTGCCGATTACGAATACATCGTCACAGAGTCAGAGCAGGAAGCTCTTATTCTTGAGTGTAACCTGATCAAGGAACATCAGCCTCCATTCAATGCTCGCCTCAAGGACGACAAGAGTTACCCTTTCATCAAAATTGACGTTTCAGAGGACTTCCCGCAGGTCTACATTACGCGACGAGTTAACAAGGACGGTTCTCGCTACTTTGGCCCGTTTGCAAGCGCAGGTAGCGTTCGACGCACGCTCAACCTCCTAAAGAAGCTCTTCCCATACCGGTCATGCACTAAGACTATCACCGGCAACGATGCGCGCCCATGCCTCGATTATCATATTCATCGCTGTATCGGCCCGTGCATTGGAGCTGTTGATAAACAAGAGTATGCAGAGGTCATTGACCAGGTAATCCTCTTTCTTGAAGGAAAAACCAATAAGGTCGTGGGTTCAATTAAGAGGCGCATGCTGGATGCCGCGGACAGCCTAGAGTTCGAGAAGGCAGCAGTTCTCCGCGATCAACTAACCGCAATCGAGAAGGTCAACGAGGGCCAGAAGGTGCTCCACTTGACGTCTGAGAATGTGGACGTGATTGCGACCGCCCCAGGTAGCCGGGAAGCATGGGTTGAGGTCTTCTTCATACGGCAGGGCAAGCTGATTGGGCGCGACAACTTCCTGATGGCAGGGACTCAGGATGATGAACCAAACAAGATTCTCACTGCATTCGTGAAGCAGTTCTACGACGCTACTCCTTATGTGCCACCCCGCATACTGCTTCAGCACCCGCTCGAAGAAGCAGACAGCATCGTCAAGTGGCTGCGAGAAAAACGCAAAGGCAACGTGCGCCTCCATGTGCCGCAACGCGGCGAAAAGCGCCGCCTTGTGCAAATGGTCGCCGAGAATGCCGAACAGGGCCTTGAGCAGTTACGAGTGAAGCAGACATCCGACACTGCTGCGATGGACGCCGCGATGTTGGAACTGCAGGAGGCGCTTAGCCTCCCTTACCCGCCCAAGCGCATTGAGTGTTACGACATCTCCAACATACAGGGTACAAATGCAGTCGGCAGTATGGTGGTTTTCGAGGACGCCAAGCCGAAGAAGCGCACTATCGCCGCTTTCAGATCAAGTCCGTAAAGGGAGTTGATGACTACTCAATGATGCGCGAAATGCTGACGCGCCGATTCAAGCGCCTATCACAGTCGAGGAAACCCCGCGAATTGGACGCGCTTGAAGGCGATGTAGAATCGGCGGCAGTTTCCAATGGCAATGCAAGTAGCAAGAACGCTTGGGGCATTGAGCCTGATCTTGTGCTTATAGACGGCGGCAAAGGACATTTAGGTGCCGCACTGCAGGTATTTTTGGAGCTTGGAATTAACGACATTCCGCTTGCAAGTCTAGCGAAGGAAAATGAAGAGCTCTTCATCCCGATGATGAGCGAGAGCATAATGCTGCCGCGCAACTCTCAAGGGCTATATTTAGTACAGAGAGCGCGCGACGAGGCGCATCGCTTTGCAATCACATCCACCGCGAACGTCGCTCTAAGAAGAGCGTTCAATCTGCGCTTGACCTTGTGCCTGGTATTGGTCCAAAGCGTAAGAGGATGCTTATCCGGCGGTTCGGCTCAGTTCGCGGCGTCAGCAGCGCTTCCGTAGATGAAATCGCTGCTGTTCCCGGAATGACATTGTCACTCGCTCGCAGTGTAAAGAATACGTGTAGTCACGCCCATTTCTATTGCGGCGAATTTGCGTTCGCCTTGCATCGCACCCGCGTAGTTGGCCGATTCAGGCTCGTCTAGTCCGCCGCAGCGTCAATGCTGCTGGAACTGTCCTGCCGCATGCTGGTGAATCGGTGCAGCAGGCTGGTGAACTCCATCGGGAAGATGAACTTAGTGGACGAACTTTCACCCAGCTTCTGAAGAGTATCGAAGTACTGCAAACTCAGTGTGTTGGCGTTGATGCTCTGTGCCACGTCGTTCACCTTGTCAAGAGCAAGGCTGAAACCTTCGGCGCGCAACACGGCGGCTTGCTGGTCGCCTTCGGCGAGAGAATATCGGCCTGCCTTGCGCCCTCCGCCTTCAGGATAGCCGACTGCTTTTCGCCTTCGGCAACGGTAATCGCCGCCTGCCGTGTGCCTTCCGCCTCGATGATGGCGGCGCGGCGCACACGCTCTGCGGACATCTGGCGGTTCATCGCCTCTTGAATGTCGCGCGGCGGCTCGATTTCCCGTATCTCCACCTGCGTTACCTTGATGCCCCAACGCGCCGTTATCTCGTCCAGCTTCAACCTCAAATCTTCATTGATCCGATCGCGCTGCGAGAGCACTCGTCCAGCGGCATCTCACCGATGATAGAGCGCAGGGTGGTAGTGGCAATACCGATGACCGCGCTGGCGTAGTCCACAACCTCCAGCACCGACTTCTGGCGTCGTTGGTATCACCCGAAGATACACCAGGAAGTCTATGTCTATGGGCGCGTTGTCGCTGGTAATGCTGGTCTGCCTGGGATGTCTATCACATCTTCCCGCAGGTCAATGGTCGTCGACGAGTGAAAGGGCCAGACCATAACTTGTAACCCCGGCTGCTTCAGGCCAACGAACTTACCCAGCCAGAAAACGGTTAACAACTCGTACTGCTGAACTATCTTGATGTATGGAATCATTGCATCGTCCCCCCGTAACTCGGCCGTAACTTCTTATGAATAATCAACAATAATCAGCCCTCATCTGCCTTGAACACCTTAAGGACAAGGCCCTCAACCTCCAGTATTATAACACTTTCACCGCTTGGCACGGCTGAACCGGAGTCTGATACCGCACTCCACTGCTCGCCTGCGATGAGAACGCTTCCCCGCGGCGTAAGCGCGGTAGTGGTCGTGCCCACCTGCCCGATGAGTCTCTTTGGGTCTGTAGGGCTAGCGTACTTCCCCGCCCTGCGCGCTTCATACGTTGCCTTGATGGTGAGAGCCACCGATGCAAACGATATGACGGCCGCACCGCCCACGATCGCGGCGTCGCCACGGCTTAGCATGAACGCGCCCAGCACCAGACACACGGCGCCGCTCAAGCCGAATACGCCCATCCCCGGCATCTGTGTTTCCAAAAAGAACAGCACCAGGGCTGCGACAACTAGACCAAAACCCCATCCCAAAAGCTCAATGCCCATCATTCCTGCATACGTCCTGAGTAAGCGTCTTCTCTGACCACTCTTAGGGTCAAACCGTTGACCTCCACTATCATAACACGCTCCCCACTTGGCAGTTGTACACCTGAGTCCGAAATCGCGCTCCACTGCTCTCCGGCAACACGGACACTTCCCATTGGGTTAAGATCGGTCGTTGCCGTGCCGATGCTGCCTATCAGATTGTCGGTATTGCTGTACGCGTGGTCGTAGTATGAGGGAATTCTTCGCGCCTGTCTTACAGCCCTGATTGTAAACACCATCGAGCCGAAGAGAAGTGCGCTCATCGCCCCGATTATCCAGAGACTGACCGTGAAACTGGGTGCATTTGGCAGGTCCGGCACTTCCGGTGAAAAGGTTAAGTTGCCAAATAGCAGAAAAGCGCCTATCAGAAAACCTATCGCGCCAGTAATGCCGAAAATGCCGATGCCCGGCGCCTGCGCTTCTAAGTAGAAAAGTGCCATTGCGATCAATATCAAGCCGACACCCACCCAGTTTACGGGCAGGTTTCCGAATGCGAGGAAGGCTAGGATGAGGGCTATGATACCAAATACGCCTGGACCTATCAGCCCAGGGCTGAATAGTTCGATGATGATGCAGAACCGCCAAGGTCATAGCAAGAGAACGCTACGTTTGGGTCCGCCAGAAAACGAAGGAAGAGTATCACGGGCGGCGTTGCGCTCGATGGTGTGGTGGTAGTCCGTCAGTATCTAACTTGCACTTGTCACCAGGAGATCGATGGTCATGCGATGTGACGTCTGGGGTAGCCGATCGGAGAGGTCTCAGCCTTTAAGTCAACAACCTGCAAACGCCAACGCTCTGTCGACGTATAGCCACGGAATCCAGGGACTGTATATCCTCGGAGCGCTGCTGCGTGCGATTGCGCTGCGAGGCGAGGCTCGGAGGACACGCAGCCGCGTCCTTGTGTTGCCTTTGCTCTGAGTGTATCCGGCAAGTCATCTCCGCCCGCACCGACCGGGGATGCCGCGCCAATGTTGGTCGCCGGAGCCATTGCAGCTACGTGAGCCGCCGCGGTGATGAATGTACCGGCGGATGCCGCGCGTGCGCCTGACGGTGATACATATACTACTACCGGCAGCGGAGAGGCGAATATGTCCTCAACCATCTCGCGAGTTGATTCAAGAAGTCCGCCTGGTGTGCGAGCTGACTATCAGTATTTCGCGCCTGTTTCGTGCGCCTCGTCGATCACATTGGAAAAGTGCTTCGCTTCCAGTGGCGTAATCGCGCCGTCAATTGCGAGTATGCGAGCGTCGCCGCCGGATGCTTCTGCTGCATCAGTTGACTGAGCTGCCAAAAAACCGCCAAACCCGACGATCATGAGCGCCAGTGCGACGAAATGTCTCATTGAGTAAGGCTCCGCCTAGAGTTCAATACCGCGGCGTAGACAGTGTAAGTCGGTGAACTCACTTGCAGCGAGGTGTTAAAGGCGCAGAATTCTTGAGTGCTGCTGGAGATCGCGCCTTTTCGTCTGCAGGTCCCTTAGTTACATGGTAGTGGTGGGACGACCTTCAGGCAAGGCCATTCAGCAGTCTTTGCGATTGGATTAGGTACGAATCAATGACTAGGACGTCGCAAGCAGATTCGCCCTGACGCTGCGGGGAACTGGAAGTAGAGCGGTGTGCAGTAAACTTTTGCGTATGGTTGGTTGCAAATATTGCACCGCAGATGCATCAATCAATAGGAGGTAGTTTCGACATCGAATTGCTCAAATGACTCAGTATCGCGAGTGCAAATGGGTATTCCGAGTTGTTTCGCCGTCGCTGCTGCCACGGATACATACGCGCCCTTCCGGCCATTGATCTCGTCATAGTCGGCAAGCCACAGGCCGGCGGTTCGCGCTATCTCGATGTCCGGCTGTGCTTCTTCAATAAATCGCAGTACGCTCAGGAAGCCGATTTCTGTGCGCCTGTCGATATTGCCAAGATGCCAGAGTTCGCACACGGTCATGGGCGACACAGCAGCATTTAGCTCACATTCCAGGATTGGCTTCGACTAACTTGCGCGCTTCGTGATCGCCTTTACGAAGGTCATGAAGACGTGGTATCTAAAAGATTGTCAGCCATCACTTGCCTCCTCCCCACCCGGCATACCGAAAAGGAGCGCTTCACGCGCTATTTTCTGCGGCATCCTCATGCGTAACTGCACCGGATCGCCAACTGACCACGCATTCTACTGTCGAGTGGCTCTTTCCGGTGTCAGAAGAAGTTTCATGAATGTCGTAGGGGAGGCAAATGCTCCCAAAGCTACCGTCGGGCTCTTCTCCTGAAAGTACAAGAGGCGCCCCTAATGGCTGACGCGCCTGAGCTTCCAAGTATTGATCATCCCAAATGGACGGTGCCTGTGGGGGAGAGGTATCTTCGGGATACCAAACCTCCATTGGCGCGGCGCCATCAGCCTCTATGGCATTCGCAAGCGCAATCTCAATAAAACGCCGCATCGGCAGACGCAACTCCGCGCGCGCGCGACCTAGCAGCCAGATAAACGTCCTCACGAATTGAGGCGTATATCTGGCGTGTGGGGAGTGAGTGTTCCCGTGTCCTAGCCATGCGGAAAGGTATTTGAATATGAAATATAGTCAAGGCGCGAATACCCTTATTCTACCCAAATTACGTCAAATTAAGGATGCAAGTGCATATCGCCATATTGCCTGCCGCCTGATTTCATCGGTGACGCAGCCAGATGGTGTATGCGAGGGATGCTGAAATTTTTCAGACACCGATCGCGATGCAGAGAGGGATAGCTCTCAAGGCTTTCGCGTGACCGAGGCTCACTGTGAATAAGCAACCCGTTGAACGTGCTTCATATGTGAGCCGCGTTGCAGCGATCTCTGTCAAGAATATGGCTTCCCATGATCGTGCCGTCAATCAGAAATTACTTATAGTTCATTTAGAGTGGAAACGCGCATCAAGTCATTTGCGTCGGCCAAGATGCTACGGATTGCCTTCACTGCGGATATCCATTTTCACTTGATTGTCTGAATGGAGCGACTGTGGGGAGCAGATTGAGTAACGGCAGATTGAGAAATTTCGGTCATCACTCCCTTCCCCTGCCAACTCACAACTTTAAGCGTGTTGATAGCAGGATGTGCGCGGTCGACACGACGAATGATATAATTTGCCATTATGAAGATTCTCATTGCACCTCAGGCTTTCAAAGGCAGCATATCTGCGCTCGATGCAGCGACGGCTATGCGCGAAGGAGTTCTGCGCGTCGAGCCAGACTCGGTGGTGGTCACGGTTCCAGTCGCGGATGGAGGCGACGGCACCCTAGAGACACTTGTGGAAGGCTCAGGCGGGCAGATTCACCAGATCGAGGTTACTGGACCTCTTGGCGAACGGCGTTCAGCGGAGTGGGGTGCTATGGGCGATGGGGTTACGGCAGTCATTGAGATGGCGCGCACCTCCGGTCTTGCGCTAGTGCCTGACGAGGAGCGTAATCCCCTGATCGCTACAACTTATGGGCTTGGCGAGACGATCAGACATGCGATGCGTTCGGGTTACGAGCGATTCATCATAGGCATTGGAGGTAGCGCGACCAATGATGCGGGTGCGGGAATGGCTCAGGCGCTGGGCGTCAGGTTGCTTGACAAGGAAGGGCACGACCTCTCGTTCGGTGGAGCATCGCTTGCGAGTCTTCGCAGCATCGACATGTCGGGACTGGACGGGAGTATTGCCGAGTGCGAATTCCTGGTCGCCTGTGATGTGAACAACCCCCTGACTGGGCCAACCGGTGCGTCCGCGATCTATGGACCTCAGAAGGGCGCGACTCCAGATATGATTGCTCAACTGGATGCTGCGCTGACGCACTTCTCCGAAGTTGTACAGCGGGACCTGGGAGTTGAAATCAGCGACGTGGCTGGCTCTGGCGCGGCTGGAGGGCTTGGGGGTGGACTGATTGCCTTCGTGGACGGACGGCTTCGCGCCGGCGTTGACATCGTGCTTGACGCCGTCCATCTTGATGACCACCTTCCGGGCTGCGACCTAGTGATAACCGGCGAGGGCAGCATGGACCACTCGACCATCTACAACAAGGCACCGGTGGGCGTAGCGGAGCGAGCCAAGAGGCTGGGGATTCCCGTGGTTGGCATTAGCGGCTCGCTGGGGGCGGGCTACCAAGATGTGCATGCACACGGTATTGACGCGCTGTCGTCAATAGTACCGGGGCCAATGTCGCTTGGCGAGGCTTCCGAGGGTGCCGCTGCACTCATAGCTGATGCCGCTGAGCAGGTGATGCGCCTGATCAACGTCGGCGGGACAGTGTTCAACAGGGGCTAATTGCCCCTGCCCTCTCAACCGAGAAGGATCATATGGACTTCCCCGGGACCGTGTACTCCCGTGACAAGCTGATACTCGATGTCTGCGGAGCGGCTTGGGCCGCTGATGAGGTTCATGTAGCTGCCAAGATCGCCAGTCAAGAAGTCCTGCCTGCGGAGAGTAAACAGCTCGTCTAAGCTGGGTAGAACCTGGCCAGATTCGACGACCGCGATGTGGACGGGAGGCAGCAGCGAAACGACGCGGCTGACGCCTTTGCGCGGCAGAAGTACGCAGGAACCAGTCTCCGCGATTGCGTAGTCCACGCCGGTTATTCCGATGTCCGCAGTGATTGCCTGCTGGCGCAACTCAGCGCGCTCGGATTCCAGTGTATCGCCGGTCGCAGCCTCATCCACTGCCATTACTCCTAGAGATATGCCGGTCCCGTGCATGGCGGCTTCGATGTCAAGAGCGTCTAATGCGGAGTGCGTGGAGCGGAGCATGGTGCGTGCCTCCACATTCCTAGCAACCTGACGGATGTAGTTGGCAGCGTCAAGCGGCGATTGGGTGCGGAATACATTCCAAGCAGCTTCAGCAGCACTCTGTTCAAGATGTGCCATAAGCTCATCAGCGCGGGAGGCGATGTCCTCCGCAACACGCTGCGCCCGTCTGTGTACCTGCTCTGCTCCGAGCGACAGATGCGTGGCTGCCGCTGGCGCGAGGTCGGAGCGGTATCGCGTCCGAGACTTTGGCTTATGTTGGCTAGGAAGTCTTCCGATTTCATGCCGTGCCGATCTTGCGGTAGCTCATGCTTGAGTTTTATGCCCGTCCAGAATGGCGCGTCTCCACTCTGTTCATATCATCCCGGACTCTTGCTTTGGATGCCATCATTCCTAACTTTGTAGAACATTCTATCATGATTTCCAGCGTTTGCGGAACGGGTGTGCTGATAATTTGGGCAGAGAGCGGTAGCGGGTCCAAGCTGTAAGGGGTGAAGACGAGGGGCTATCGCTCGTTCTGGAAGCAAGTAGAGGTGGGCGAGCCTGCCGAGCCAGTTTGCGATGCCCATGGTGAACGGGTTGGATACGGCTATGCGCCAGGCCTTCATAGCCAATCGTTCCTTGGTCGTTGATGTCCTGTGCTCCGGGTAGTTGTCGCCTTCGGCGAGCTGATGGCGCAAGTAGAGGAGCATTCGAGGGAGGTTGATTTTGACTGGGACACGCCTCTTTGCAGGCGCCGCAGAGGCTGCTGGCGTATGGCAGATCCTTAGCTTCAGAGAGGTTGGTGAGCATCGGGGAGACGATCGCGCCTATGGGACCGGGATATACCCAGCCGTAGGAGTGCCCGCCGACCTTGCGATAGACGGGGCAGGCGTTGAGACAAGCTCCGCAGCGCAGGCAGTAAAGCGCCTCTCGCAGCTCAGGGTCGGCGAGAAGGCGTGAACGTCCATTGTCCACGATGACCAGATGAAACTCTTCGGGCCGTCCTCGTCGTCGGAGCGGCGGGGACCGGTCACCGTGGTTACATAGCTGGAGATGCGCTGACCGGTAGCGGAGCAGAATGAGCAATACGAAGCATAATGCCCATGTCTTCGAGCGAGGGGACGACCTTCTCCATACCGGTGATGGCTACATGGATGCGCGGCATGGAAGTACACATGCGGCCATTGCCTTCGTTGGTAACGAGGACAAGTGTGCCAGTCTCGGCGACGATGAAGTTGGCGCCGGTGATGCCCATATCGGCAGTGATGAACTTCTGGCGGAGCTGCCGGCGCGCTTCTTGCGCGAGGTCGTCAATGCTTGAGTAGCGTGGCGAGTTGAGCTTCTCTTCAAAGAGATCGGCGACGTCCTCGCGGGACTTGTGGATGGCCGGGGCGATTATGTGGAAGGGCGCTTCGCCGGCGAGCTGTATGATGTATTCGCCGAGGTCTGTTTCGACGGATTCGATGCCTGCCTCTTCAAGGCGCTCATTCAAACCCATTTCTTCGGAGACCATGGATTTGCTCTTGACGACAGTCTTTACACCTCTGGAGGTGGCGAGTTCTGTTACATAGCGAGTCGCTTCTTCGGAGTCTTTGGCGAAGAAGACAGTGCCCCCTGCCTTGCGGACGTTTCTCTTCGCCATGCGGAGGTAGATGTCGAGGTTTTCCAGCGTGTGTGCTTGATTGCGCGACCACGGTCCCGGAGCTCTTCCCAGTTTTCTGTGGCGGCGGATCGCGTCTAAGCGCGCCTGATGGAAGCCGCCGTACAGGCCGAGCAGATTCGCCTGGATTTTCTCATCCTGCAAGGCGCCGGCCGCGGCTTCGTTGAATTCCTTTGTTTTAACTTCATATGGTGGCGTTTGCCCTCTACCAGTCTTACCCATCAAAAGGGATAAACTTCAGATTCCTGTCAGTTGCTCGTCCATCAGCGATGCCAAGTGGAGCGGCTAATGGTCATGTCGCGCTTCTGGATGCCGCCCCCTATTTGGCATCAGCAACTGCTGTCGACAGGCTGCGACGGCATCGGCGCCGGTGTCGGCGGCGAAGGAGAGCTTGTCGTTTAGCATCGCACCCGAGATTCAGGGATACTTGACGGAGAACGTGCACGCCGAACCCGCAGCATACCTCGGACTGCTCCATCTCAACCAGCTCTATTCCGGAGCGTGTTTATCAGCGCGCGGGCTGGGTGAGGACGCTAGTTCACGGCGAAGGTGGCAACCTCATGGTAGGTGACTTTGCGTGTGTGGTGCGGTCGATCCGAGTCGGCATAAGGGCTCAAGTCTGTGATGCCTAAGACATCAACGATGAACTCGGACAGTTCGAAGGTGCGTTTAGCGAGGGATGCTATTCTGGCTTTCAGCACCGGTTCGTCGTGGAACAGTTCGTCGTAGAATACTCGCATCATGCTGGCGCAGGAGCCAGGACGGAACCACGACATATTCGTCGTTCTGGAACAGCTCGATTGTGCGGCGAGCGAGAGGCTTGGCGTCGCTCCAGAAGCCAGCGTTGAAGGCAGGCTGGCCGCAACAGGTCTGCGCGGCGGGAAAGTCGAGATCGACACCCAAGCGTTTCAAGACATTGACCGTGCTCTCACCCACTTCGGGGTATATCTGGTCGATGATGCAGGTTACGAAGAGCGATGCCCTGACGGGTGGTGACGCTGCTGTCATCAGAGCACCAGACTGTGCACTGCGAAGCCTACCATCCAGGCGACGATGAAAACCGGACAGGCTGCGAAGAGCTTGCCCTCGGTTTCCTGCTTGGCGGGGCCGTGCAGGAACATATAGAGCACGAATGCCCCTAGCCCGACGGCAACGAGAATGACGGAGGCGAAGTTGACTCCGAGCGCCGCGCCGATGACGAAGCCAACGATCGCCCAAGAAATGGGGGAGTCGATGTATCCAAGTATTGCCATGGCTTCCTTACGTCCCAGTTGGGTCCCTGCTTCCCCAGAAATGTCCGCAATAAGCAGGCAATTAGACGGGGAACGGTTCCAAGACTTGTGCCTGATGTTCAGCTGCACGGCAAAGGATACTACTTGCGCGGTGTTGGCGCAATGAGTGGTTGTGAACTGTGGGTATTCAGTTGTGAGTATAAGCGTTGGCCAGTGCTGTGTGGACATTTCCCATTTGTCCCCTGTCATTCCAAGCAAAGCGATAAATCTGAAGTCTGTGAATGGCGAATGTGCAACGATTTTAGATTCTTCACTCCGCTCCGCTCCGTTCAGAATGACAGGAGATGAAGGCGCGCCGTCCAGATTTGCGAGGCAGAATAGCTACTCTCTGGTCTAAAATGCTGTGCGTAGTCAAATGGCAACAGAATTAGGACTGCGGATGTCGGGGAACGGAAGCATGTCGCGATGGAGATGGGATAACGGTGCCGCCATTGATCGCAGCGGCATCGGCTCTTTGCACGAGCGGTCGGTGGTATTTTCTGCGCGCGAGTGGGGGCATGTCTCGTTCTGTGCGTTTCGTTTTTGCGTCTCGGCGTGCCCTCGCGCTTCGCTTGTTGTTCAGGAGTTAGTGGTTCGTAGTGGAGGTGAATTCCGGGGCGGGATCGTTGGTGTGGATGGCCGGATTTTCTTCTGTGGGTTCCTCCGCTCCGCTGCTTTCTTGCCTCCGCTTCCGCGAGGGCTTCCTGTTCGACTCGTTCGGAGTAGATGAGGCATTGTCTGCTTCAGCGTCCTTCGACAGGTTCGGGGCAAACGGATCCTTGTCTGACATAGGTGGGGATGATGGGAGGGATATCTCACCCCCATCCCAGCATTCCCCCGTCGAGGGGGGAGGGGTTTTTGTCCTGCGCTCAGTTTCGTTCGCTGCAGCTTCGCGGTCTTCGTCTTCGCGGAGTTGGCGGGCTATGGCGTCGTAGTCCACGTCGTCATAGATGTCGTATTCGTCAACATAGGCAGACATGCCTGCCCGCTGTTTCTTCTGGCCAACTGACAGGCGCGGGGAGGTTTTGTCCTGCCAGTAGGCTGCTACATCCCCGGACAGAATTCTATCGTAGTTGGTGTCCCAGCCACGGCGCAGAAGTTCCTGCGCCGCTGACATGCGGTGATGTACCGTGTACTCCTCATCCGGGTCGGGATTCGACATTATTTCCAGGAGGAAGCGGATGGTGTCTGTGCCGTGCTCGCTGTATTCGCGCATACGCTTGGCGAGGTCGGTGTGCAGGGTGTCGTAAGCGTTTGCTTCGTCGCTGTTGTCTGACAGTTTGCGCCTGTAGCCGAAGTCTCCGAAGCCGCGACGCAGGAGTTCTCTTGCGGCTGCCATGCGGTCCGCGGGCTTGATGCGGAACTTCTTGGGCGTGAATGGCCTGTCCCTGCCGGTCATTATTTCCACGAGGAACTTGACGACAGTGTGTCCTTCGGCGGTTTCCGAGCGGATGAGGTGGGCTACTTCGTAGTTGAGGATGTCGAGGTGGGACACGGAAACTGACATGGATGGGGGTAGATGATTCCCCGCCCTGCTCCTCCCCGACTGGATTCCCGCCTGCGCGGGAAAGACGGGTAGTGGTGGGTCCTTCGACAGGCCCAGGACGAACGGAGTGCTCGTCGGGGAAGCCGTAGCGGATGAGGTGCTTGGCGGCTTCGAGGCGGTGGTTGACTTTGACGCCTAGTGTTTCACCGCGCATTGTTTCCGCGAGGAAACTGGCGATGTCGTAGCCACCTTTGGTGCCTTCCAGGATATTCTTTTGTAGGGTGTCGGGGATGCACATTGGCGTTAGTCTTCAGTCTTCAGTTCGCAGTTGTTAGCAATACGATTTGACTGGTTCGCTGCGAATATATGTTCGTTGTGCTAGGCATCCATGATAGGTACGGATGTTTGGATTGTCAAGAGATGTTAGAGCAAAATACGGGGTTTATAAGATTGGCGGCGGGATGTTTGGTACACTTAAGAGAACGGAGAGTTTGAGTCGGACATTTTATGGGAGGCGCTATGTTGGGAGCGATAGAGGCTTGGAAGCGACGGGTTGAGACGCATCATGCGCAGTCGGAGGCGGTGATGGCTGCGGCTTCGTGGTCGGATGATGACTTCTGGCAGCCATACGCGCGGTACTTTCGGGTGGACCCGCGGCGGCAGGATGACCCTGTGCTCGACCTGCTGATGTCTATGGTGGAGCCGGGCAGCACGGCGCTTGATGTGGGAGGCGGCGCGGGCCGGATGGCTTTGCCGATGGCACTGAAGTGCGAGCATGTTGCTGTCGTCGAGCCTTCGGACAGCATGATAACGCAGCTTCGAGAGTCGTCATCGGAGGCGCGTATCGGCAATGTGTCGGTTACGCAGGCCGTGTGGGAGGATGCGCGGGTTGAGGAGGCGGATATTGTGCTGTGCGCTCATGTGGTTTACGGGGTGGCGGACATCGAGCCGTTTATCCGGAAATTGGACGGGCACGCAAGCTCGCTTGTGGTGATACTGGCGTTCGTGGAATCGCCGATGACGCGTATTTCTCGTTTCTGGAAGCCCGTTCATGGCGAAGAGCGCATTGATATGCCTGCGTTGCCGGAGTTGGTCAGCGCGCTGTGGGAGATGGGCATATATCCAGATGTGCAGATGATGGGGCCTGTGATGCCGGACAAGTTTGAGGACCGAGAAGTGGCGCTTACGCAGCTGCGGAATCGGCTATATGTGCGGGCTGGAAGTGAGGAGGAAATTCGGCTTAAATCAGCGATGGACGAACTGCTGCTGGATGTGGATGGTGGTGTGATGGTGAAGGGTGTTGCGCAGGTTCGGCAGGGGTTCTTGACCTGGAAGCCAGAACGAGGCTAGGCTGGCATATAAAGGATTGAATGAAGTAGGGGCAGCAATGACGCTGCCCCTGTTTTCGCTAAGGGTAGCTTGCTAAGAGTATCTTATAGGCCTTCGGCGTAGGCTGCCTGGAAGGTGTCAACGCCCGCGCGGACGCCGTCAGATCCGCGGACGATGGCCACGGGGCTGGCGAAGGTTGGGAATCCGGAACTGATGAAGCTTTCGGGGATCGAGCGAATTTCGTGGCCTCGCGCTTCAAGTTCGGCTGCGACGGCGGGATCGAGGCGCGGGTCGATGCTCGTGTGCGGCGTGCTGCAATCTATTCTTGGGGAGTCTATCGCGGCCTGGGGACCCATGTCGTAGTCTAGGACCTTGATAATCTGCTGGGTTACGCAGTTGGTAATGCGCCTTCCGCCAGACGCGCCGACTGCCATTCTGACGCCGTCGCGGTTCATAACGAGCGCGGGTGTCATGTTGTTCAGCGGCAGTCTGCCGGGAGCGATGGAGTTGATGCGGCCGGGCACGGGATCGAACCACATCATGCCGTTGTTCATTACGACGCCTGTGCCCTTGGGGATGATGCCAGAGCCGAAGCCAGACATAACTGTGTTGGTTATCGAAACGCCGTTGCCTTCGGAGTCGGTTACGACGAGATGGGTCGTACCTTTATCTTCTGCGGGGCGGCTCGCTGGGAGAACGCTGGTCGGCTCCCTACCCTCTTGTACCCAGGGGTTGCCTGCTTCGACCGAGCCATTCATCCGGTCGCCAATGGTGGCGCGGCGAAGCTCTGTGTAGTCGTCGGAGACCAGGCCGTTCCAAGGGACGTCGGCGAATGCGGGGTCGGCGAGGTACTGGAAGCGGTCTGCGTATGCGAGACGAGCGCATGATATGTAGGCGTGGAGCATGTCGGCGGAGTTGTGCCCCATCGAAGGCACATCGAAACCGTCGAGAAGTTTGAGGGTCATAGCGCTTGTGATGCCGGCGCAGGCGAAGGGCGGGACGCGCACGGTGTGTCCACGGTATTTGAACTCAAGCCCCTTGTCCCAGACTATCGGCTTGTAGCTTGCCATGTCGTCTTCGGAGAGGATGCCGCCGTTATTCTGGATGTCCGAGGTAATTGCTTTCGCAATGTCGCCCTTATAGAAGGCGTCGGGGCCGCCCTTGCCTATTGCTTCGAGAATGTTGGCGAGTTCGGGCTGCTTGAGCACCGCCCTGTCAACGACGTCGCCCATAGGCATGTTGTCGCCGGGCATGAGGACTCGGCGCAACTCGTCGTAGCGCATTAGCATGCCTGCCGTGCCGCTAATCTGGTTGAGGCCGAAGAGGTTGGGAATGAAGCCGTCGCGGGCGAGGCTGACGGCCGGGGCGAGGACTTCGCTGAGGGGGAGCTTGCCGAAGCGTCGGTGCGCCTCGCATAGTCCGGCTACCGCGCCTGGGGTAGCGATGGAGCGGAAGCCTTCGATGTTGTCGTCGTTGACGACACCGGGCCAGCCGAATGAGCCTGTTGCGGCCTCGCCTGTGAGTTCGTACATGTCGGGCTTTGCACTGGTGGGGCCCTTCATGGGGAAGCCGATTACGCCGCCCTGATCGCCGACCTGATAGACGAGGTATCCGCCGCCGCCGATGCCACTGGAGGCGGGTTCGAGGACGCCGATGGCGAAGCAGGACGCTACCGCGGCGTCGATGGCGTTGCCGCCCTGAGCGAGCATTCGCAAGCCTGCGCGGGTAGCCTCACGGTCTTTGGTGGCGACCATTGCACTTGGGGCACGGGCTTCTTCCTTGACTACGCGGGTGATGGTGGGTTGGGTGGTCATGTGTGGGAGTCCTCCTAAGCATTCTGCGATTCCTGACGGTAATTTAACATAAGAGCAAGCGAGGGGCTAACAGGATGCAGAGGATGGCTAGGATTGGGACGCGAGATTGACCATAAGGACGGGCGCGCCTATAATCTGGGCAGAATGATATATCGTGGAGATTGCTTTTGAGTACGCAACCATTGACTTCTGAATTGCTTGAGTTTGAGGGCGCTTCCGATGTGATTGAGCACTACTTTCGGTCCGGCTGGACTGATGGGTTGCCGGTTGTGCCTCCGACGCCTGAGAAGGTACGGGACTTTCTGGACTACGCGGGACTGTCGCCTTCGGAGATCCCTAGGTACTGAGCCTACTAAGGGACGGGTATCACGGCGGAGAAGGTTGCAATCAACGCGGTGATGGCGGGATGTTTTGCCGGAGTATTTCCCGGTGGTACTTGCGGCGATCGATGCGTTGTGCGAGCCGCAGTTCAATCTGCATGCGATCACGGTGAGCACGATGGGGCTGCTGTAGCTGGCGGTTGGTGACGGCCGAGTGGGTAATGACTCGGGCGATGAACTCGTGACAGGTGAGCGAGTTGGTGTACGGCGGGACGAGGGCCGCGATGACGACGATTGAGTCGCGCAAGCGATTGAGGCGTGGCATCATCATGTCACCGGCAGCGGTGAGCCCGGGCTGCTGGATAAGGCGACGCGGGCATCCGGCAAGTACACGTGTGCATTGCTGCGGAAGGGCGAGAGGTCAAGTCGTGGGAGCCGCTGCATGTTGCGAGCGGGACGAGATGCGAACTCCAGCGCGATCACGCAGTTCGCGCTGTCGGCGACGCAGGTGAGCACCATCCGGGGTGATAACCCTGAGGCGATTCGGACGAGCTTCAGGGACGCGATGTTCTCGGCGGGCTATGGCAGGGCGAGCTTGTGGTTGTGCTGTGCCGGAGCACGTGGGCTACTGGGTGGCGCGGGCTGGAGCACAAGTCGGATGTAACGTTACCCATGCACGAGAATGCGCAGCGCACGGTGGCGGAATGGTGATCGCGGGGCACATGGCGCCGAATGTGGAGATGCGGAGCGATGCTGGCCACACGCTGACACCGCGCAGTCCTTCGGATAGCATTACAAGTGTCGGTTGCGGGTGCGGGCGGTTTTGCGGGTGCGTTCTCGCAGGTGATACCGCTTTGGGCGGTGGGGTCGAACTCGCAGATCTGTGTGCAAGTGGATATGTTGTCACATTAGTGACGGAACTTATATCGTGGACGTAAAAAGGTGAGCTGACAGAGATGGAAGAGGTAGACCATGTGGGTCGTAGCACAGAGAGGCTGTCAGTACTAGTCCGACGTGCAGGGCGATACCTGAGGATGCGGTGTGGCGCGGCGGCGGATACGCTGACGGCAAGGTTATTGGGCTGCTGTGCGAGAAGCGTGGATAGATTAACTTAACTCGAGAGGCGTGCTGGCGCTTACGCAAGAGTGTGCTGGCAGACCGCTATGAGTTCAAGCTGTGTGGCGCGCAACAAGCCCAACGCATGCAATCACGGCGTGCCGAATGCATATTATCGACAGAGCTTGTGGGGCAGGTGCGACGTGGTGATCACAACTCGTCGGGTGATTGAGGGTCTTGCTCATCGTGCAGTGTGCACGACGGAATTACTCTTGAAAAGCGCGGCGTACCCACGGCGGTTATCTGCACAGAGCCGTTCATATCGAGCGGGAAGGCGATGGTCGAATATCGGCGGATACATGACTACCCGTTCGTGGTGCTGCCGCATCCGTGGGCAGCCTCGACGAGGAGCGGCTCGTGAGCGGGCAATGCAGGCGGCACCTGAGGTGCTGAAGATCCTGCTGGCTCGGGGATAGATTACCGTCGATTGGCAGGATGGAGGGGACAAAAATCCTGGAACTTTTCCAAAGGCAGAGTGGGCAGTCTCCCCCATCCTGCTTCCCCGCAATGGCTGAAGGGCTGAACGGTGCTGCATTTCGCACATCCTAACCTCCCTGAGGGGAAGGGACTTTATTGTCCTAGTCTGCGACTTGGAATCGCTCGGATTCCGGGTGCTGGTGGGACCATAGGCGTCTGCGCCGGTCTCGTACGGCGGCGGAGTCGGGGCTTGCGCGCCACCCTTCATATATGTCATTGCTGGTCCACTTGACCATGGTGGTGATTTTCGTGGTGTCGGTGGAGCGAGTAGAAGTTCACGGCTGACGAAGCGGCTCTGCTCTGTGCGTCTCCGTTGCGGTCGAGCAATTCTCTTGCTTCGTCTATGAGGTCGTCTTTTGCCAAGTGGTGTGTGAGGACGCCGATCATTTTTCTGTAGTCTCCTTGCGATTTATTCACTTTGAGTGTGATGTTCTGGGGCAGGGGTTTCACCCGCATACGGCCTTCCTCCCAACCGGGGGAAGGCTTTTTTCTGCGCGAAACGCCGCCTTTGCGGCTAACTAGTCTATCACTTGATTGTATTGCTTGCTAACATTGGCACTGTTATTTCTTACTTCGGAGGAACTTTGATGACTGACAAGAAGCGAGTGCTTGTTACGGGAATGGCGGGGCAGATTGGTGGGATTATCAGACGGGAGTTGGGAGAGTGTTATGAGCTGAGCGGGATTGACCGGGTTGACGTGGAAGGGACGCCTACGAGGGCTGCGGATATAGCAAACTTAAACGATATATTATCTGCGTTCGAAGGGATTGAAGCGGTTGTACACCTTGGCGCGGATCCAAGTCCGCAGGCTTCGTGGGAGTCGGTGTTGAGCAGCAATGTCGTGGGGACGCGGAATGTGTACGAGGCGGCTCGGCTGTCTGGCGTTAAGCGGAGTGTGTTTGCGAGCAGCAATCATGCGGTGGGGAATTATCCGCTAAGGCAGGACCCGTACAAGGCTATCTACGACGGCAGGCTCGGCGAAGTGCGCCGTCCGTTCGCTCCTCTGACGACGGATTTGCTGCGCCCGGACAGCTATTACGGGGTGAGCAAGGCGTTCGGCGAGTCACTGGGGAGCTATTTTCATGACGAGTACGGCATATCGGTAATTTGCCTGAGGATTGGCTGGGTGATGACGCCCGACGATCCGAGCTTCTCTCCGGCGGCGCTATCGCTGTGGTTGAGTCATAGGGACGCGGCGCAGCTAAATACAGCGGAGTATAGACGCGCCGCTGTCGGTGGGGTTCGCAATTGTAAATGGAGAGTCTGATAATACGCTGAGCATCTGGGACATCGAGAGTACACGGCGGATTCTCGGGTATGTCCCTGAGGATGGCGCCGGAGAGGGCTGGACCGAGAGACCGGATACTCCGAACTTTATGGGAACTTAAACGTAAAAACTGAAATCTATGGAGGGCATGCCCTGACCCGAGCCCTCAACTGGGGAGAGGGGCCTTAAGGGGATTAGGTCTCGCGGTGGAAGAACAGGCGGTAAAGGTACAGCGCTGCGGCCAGGGCGTTGGCGGCGATTATCGAGGAGACGATTACGGTGCTAAGTAGGTCGCCGATGTCTATTACGGGGACGCGGTGTGAGCCGCCAAGGAGGCCGTAGTAGATATAGACGCCCCGAAGCTCGATGGTGAGCCAGGCGCATAGACTAGTGGCGGGGGGGATGACGAAAGCTCCCATGAGTCGAAAGAGGAGCGGGCTGTCGGGATTCCACCAAGCAGCCACCGCCCCGATACCGGCAGGGATGCCAATTATGAGGGACTGCATGATATAGATGGTGGTTTCGTCGAGGGCTAGGTATTGGAGGAATAGCCTGGACAGCACCCAAGTGACAGCAGACAGGACCACCGACAGGAAAATGCCGAGGCAGATACGGACGACAATCCACACGGTGGATTCGAGGTATCAGATGTCAGTACTACCATTCGAGTCTGCTTTCTTCGTCGTTTATGGGTCCTGCTCTTCGCCATGAGTGGAAGCGGCCGTGTATTTCCAGTGTGGTGACGATTGAGTTCAGCCACTCTCTCTGCTCTGCCCAGGGGTCGTAGGAAGCCGATATTCCAGAGTTGTCCTTTGGGGTCGCGGACTGAAAAACAGGCTGCCGCCGTAGTGCTGTTCTCGAGTTCGGAAACGATGTCTGCCTGCGCAGAATTTCGCGCGCTCGTAAGAGGCTTCGATGTCGCCGACCACTATGTAGGTGCTCTGGGTCCAGTATTCAGCTGCTATGGGCGCGACGACGGAGTCTCCGGCCTCATCTCTATGTGAACCAAGCATGATCATGCCGTTGCCGAGGGTCAGTTCCGCGTGGGCAACGCCACCCTTGCCGTCCGGGACAACGAGGTGTCGGGTGAAACCGAGGACATCGCAAAGCCAGTCGATAGCGGCGAAAGCGTCTCTGTAGTGCATTGCAGGGATGATGTTCGATTTCAGGTCAGCTTGACCCACTGTGTACTCCTGATTGCGGAGAATGATGTCGTTTGGGTTATGCCTTTACATTATGCCGTTGTAATGCGGAGCCTAGAGTTCCTTCAGGGATTGCCTTAGGTTGCGCTACTTGAAATCGAAGCGAACTTGATGTCCATCGTTCCGTCCGGGGCAAGCTCGAGCGGAGGCGACTTCGGCAGAAAGTATGGACTGCCCTACCCTTCCACGCAGAGTAAAACCGTAAGCACTCCGTTTGGGCAGCAACGATGTTGCTCTCAGGTAGCGCACCGCAGAGAATTCGGAATTAGGCTATCTGCTGGAGTCTGGGGTCGAGTCGGTCGCGGAGCCAATCGCCGGTGAAGTTGAGTGAGAGCACGACCAAGAAGATGGCGAGTCCGGGCAAGACAGTGGGCCACCAAGCGGTGCTGATGTAGCCCCTGCCTTCGGAGAAGACCATGCTGCCCCAAGTCGCATCGGGAGCCGGCACGCCCGCGCCGAGGAAGCTGAGGGCGGCTTCGGCAAGGATGAGCGAACCGACGCTGAGTGTCGCAATGACGACTGCCGTGTTTATTACACCGGGCAGGATGTGGCGGATCAGGATGCGTGTGGTGGAACATCCGGCGACACGCGCAAGGTCCACATACGCATTGTTCTTGATGGTAAGAGTTTGGCTGCGAATGACCCTGACAAACGGATTCCACGCAAGGGCCGCCATTAGCGCGAGAAGCAGTGTGGTGCTCTGTCCAAAGATGAGGACGCAGACGAGCGCGACCATGAGGAATGGCAGCGCCTGCCAGATGTCCACCAAGCGGGTGACAATTTCGTCTAACCAGCCTCCTGCGTAGCCACTGACTACTCCGAGGGCGGTTCCGGTTACAAAGCCGCTGAGCAGGGCGATTGTGGCTACGACGAGGGATATTCGCGCTCCGTGAAGCATGCGGGAATAAACCGGTCGCGGCCTGAGTGGTCAGTCCAAAGAATGTGGAATTGGCAGACATCGGCGCGCCTAGTATTCTCAGGGTTGCCTTTAAAGGCATTCCAGAGGCAACTCCCAGGGGATAAGCCGCTTTCCCTTAGTTTGTCGTAGCGGTCGTCTTGCATCCAGATGGGCGGAAAGTGGCGGTCACGGATGCCGCCAGCAGCCTCGCCGTGTGTGGCTAGCCCGCCCGCGAATACGCCGGCGAGGGCGAGGATAGAAAGAATTACCAGAGGAATGACGGGCCAGCGCCTGATGAAGCGCCATAGCATATGAAGTTCATGGAGTACGGGAGGATATTCCCGCATTCCAAGAATGTCTTGTTCAAGTGTTGTCATGCGAGGTGTTGTCTGCATAGCTATTCGTACCGTATTCGCGGGTCTATCAGAGCGTAGAGTAGGTCTGCCATGAATGCAAAAGTGACATAAATGCCGATAAATACGAAGACCGTGCCTGCGAGAAGAGGCCAGTCGTTGTCGTACACCGCTTGGTTTAGGGCGACTGTGCCTATTCCGGGCATCGAGAATATAATCTCGACGACGAGCGCGCCGTTGAGGTAGTCGGCCAGCAGTACGAAGGCGGAGGTCAACGGCGGGATTATGGCGTTGCGTAGGCCGTGCTTCCAGATAATAGTGAATGGGCCTATGCCCTTTGCGCGGGCAAGCTTGATGTATTCTGAGTCGAGAATTTCAAGCATCGAGGAGCGGGTGAGGCGCATATGCCTGCGGATGCGGGCCAGCCGAGAACGATGCAGGGCAGGATGTAGTGCTTGGCATTGCCCCAGTGGAGGGGGAGCCGTCATACTCGCCGATGCCGCCTGTGGGAAGAAGTCGATCGCCGAACCATTGTCGCAGAAGCACCGCGAAGAAGAATATGGCAAGGACACCGGACCAGAATTGGGGGGTCGCCTGCCCCATAAGAGCGAAGGTACGCCCGAGGTAATCCCAGAATGTGGCGCGCTTGACGGCCGCCAACACACCAATACTGAGGCCGACGGCAATCGCAAACGTCCAAGCTCCTGCGGCAAGTATGAGAGTTACTGCGATGTGTATTCGGATTATCTCACTGACGGGCCTGAGGGTGCCTATAGACTGCCCCATGTCGAACTGAGCTAGATTCCAGATCCACGTAAGGTATGGAGCGGCAGGACTTGTCCAACCCAAGCTGTTCCTTAATGAGTTGGATTTGCTCCTGTGAAGCTCGACTTGAGCAGTCGCCGATATACAAGGTCAGAGGGTCAGGGGCCAAGCCTCGTGAGGATGAAAATGAAGACTAGTTGCCCAATAATCGAAATGAAGATTGAGAGAACTCTTCTTGCTAGAACTTTGCCATAGACGACTTGAACCTCTTTGTGGGGTTTAGCCCGATTTACGGCTTTACTCTTCCATCAATAGGGTCATCAAGGGGCGACGATTTTCAACGTCATTCTGAAGGAGTGAGAAGGTCTTAAAATTGCGCCGAGGCATTCGCAGGGCACTTAGCTCTTCGCCTCTCCGCTCCCTCAGAATGACAATTGAAAGACAGTGCAAAAATTGTTAGCGTGAAATTTCAATCGTTTCAGAATGATGAATCTGTGAAGGGGAGAAGGAATGAATCCCTCTCCCCTAGTTTTCAAGAGTTTATTCTACTGCGCCGGGACTATGTGCTGAGGCCTGCCCCAGAAACCGGCGGCGGTGGAGCGTGAGCCCCACGATTCTACGGTCTCGGGGTTGCCAGCGACTCCGCGCGGCGGCTGAACCATGCCGCTGTAGAGCTGCCAGTAGTAGTAGTAGTCAACCATGTCAAGGTGGAGGTCTTCGCGCGCCTGCTTGTCTCGCTCGCCGTTGATGCCGACAAACATGTAGTCAAGGAAGCGGCTCTCGAACGAGCAACCCCAAGCCGGGCGGCTGAAGGAGCTGTCCGCAGGAGGCGGAGGCCAGTCGAACGGGTAGTTGGCGGTTTCCACGCTGCAGTTCTTGACTACGGGCCAGGGCTGCGTGCGGTCGCGCATGCGCGGGACGACGACTGCGCCGTACTCCTCGGTAAGGAGGGCGGTGCTTACGCCGATGTCTTCCCAGCCTGCTGCCACGGCGTCGGCCTGCTCAAGGCAGACGTCACCGGTCTCGCAGCGGTACTTGTTGAGGCTGATTTCAAAGCGTGTGCCATCGGACTGCCTGGGGAAGCCAGCCAGGTCGAGAATGCGCTCGGCCTCTAGAGTAGTCGGTGGGAATTTTCCAGGGCCATTCGTAGTCGGGTTCCGCGGCTGCGACATCGTACTCGGGCCAGTCGGTGCCGTGCCGAGGAGGTCGCTGCCGTACTTCTCGTGGGAGGAGTTAATCATCGACTGGGTTACCGTGCGCTCAGGCCTCCAGCCAGGGAACTTGGGTCCCATAAGCTCAAGGTAGATGGGCGTGCCCAATCCAGCCTGAAGGACTTCCACGATACCCTCGCGGTCGATTGCCATGGAGAGCGCCCAGCGAACGAGGCGTGCCTGTTCCATGTCGGTCATGCCTTCAGGGTTGTTGGTGTCCTCGTACTGGCAGGGCTTGCCAAGGTCGCACCACGGGTTGCCAAGGTGCGGTTGGTCAACGTCGTACACGGGGAGAGCCAAGGCTCAAGCGCCTCTTCGGTCTTGGCGTTCTTGTCGGTCCAGAGGTTGCCAGGCCAGATGACGCTGAGGGTCATCGTGTCCCTATCGCTCATAGTGGGGATGAACTTCAGGCCTTTTTCTTCAAGCTCATTCAGCCTAGCGAAGTCGATGGAGGCGAGATCAATTTCGCCGGTCTCCATCGCTGCCATGCGCGAGGTGATTTCAGGCATCTGCCTGACGACGAACTTGCCGATGTGCGCTGTCTCTGTCCAGTGTTCGGCGACGGCGTGGACTACGCCGCGGTCATTCGGCTTCCACTCGCCGATGGTGAATGGGCCTGAGCCAACGGGTACGAACTGTACTGCTGCCGCGCCCATCGTCTCATAAGCCTTTTGGCTGTCGAGCCTGACGGTGGTGTCGTTGATGTCGAACTCGCTGATTGGGATGCCCCAGAAGATGTCGGTTATCATCGGGGCCTTGACGGTGTAGTCGTCAACGGCGAAAGACTTCGCCGAAGGTTGCGCCAAGCTGAGCGCCGATAGCGGCGCCAAGGCTAGGGTTTACGACTGCGTTCTGGCGGTTCAGGTTCCAAGCGACATCGTGAGCCGTCAGCTCGCCGAAGTCGTTGCCCGCGAATGCGTCCGGAGTCTGGAACTTGATGCCTTTTCTGATCTTGAGCGTCAACTCGTTACCAGCGTCGTTGATGCTCCACTCTTCGGCTACGAACGGCGCAAGCGGGTCTGTTCCGTCATGCACCAGAAGCTGGTCGAAGAAGCCCATCTGAATCTCGCCGGGGCTGCCGCCGTAGGTCTGCACCTCAAAGTCGCCGAACTGCTCGGAGACCTCTGGGATAGCCATTGTGATGGTCACCGAGCCATGCCATCGCAGGCGCGGGCGCGACGGTCGGAGCAGGCGCGGCCTGTGCCGTGGGCGCTGCTGCCGCGGGTGCCGTGTAGTTGCGGCGGGTGCGGGTGCAGGTGCAACTGCCGCAGGTGCGGTGGTTGCCGCGGGTGCCGGTGCGGTGCGGGTTCTTCAGCGCCGCCACAGGCGACGAGGGCGAATAACGCCACTGCCGCAATTGATAAGAGGCCTAAATGCCTCCATTTCTTTCTTATAATAGGTAAACTACCCATTATCCCTCCTTCAGGCTTGCTGCCTTTTTAGTCTATAAGCCTCATCGATAAAGGATTTTGCAGTCTGATGCTGCCCAGTCTAGCTGAGACTCAGATGTATGGATGCAATCATACCTACTGGAACGCAACTGTCAAGTCATATTGACGGAAATGGCCAAAATTGACCTAGACAAACAGCCAGACAAAACGCATGTTCCCGTTCACGTTTGTTCTGGCTGCACTAAGGATGGCGGGAGCGAGAGGGAGTCGAACCCACCGTCCCGACCGCAGGGCCGGGACCATCGGATTTGAAGTCCGTGGAACCCACCGGAGCGCATCCGCTCCCACGCCATTGGATTGTTGGAATTTCAGTTCGTCGGCTAGTCAGAGTGTCTCTGCCGCCCTGCTTCACCACCCGTCAATTCTGTTTGCTTCCGCGAGATTTTTTCACGCACATTTCAATCTTCCCCTATTCAATCTTCCCATTTTCGGGGAAGGGACTCTGGTAGGTACTATCTGCGGCGCCTGTATTCGATGAAGTCGGTGATGATTGTGTCCACTTCCTCCCACCAGAGGCTACCAAGGATGAGGCCTTTAGGGACATCGAATACCATCCAGCCTTCGACCTGAAACTGGCGGTCGAGCTCGACCTCTCCCCAGAGGAAGGGAGAGTACAGGTCTTCCTCCGTATCCGCGACATCAACAACCCTCGATGACTCAAAGGGGTCGATCGCGTCTATGCGTGCGCCGCGTCTGTCGCCGATCTGGGCGGCTTCTTCGTCTATCAGCAAGGGTGTGACCAAGCTGGTGCGGTTGACGAGAGTGACGTCAAGCAGGACAAGCTGCCGGTTTGAAGCTCTCGGGCGGATGACGCGGTGCTGACCGCTCACGTCCCTGAATGCTACTTTTTCCACAATCAGTGGATGAGAGGTATGCACCTCAAGGCTTCTGCCACGCGCTCTGATCTTTTCCGGTTCATCAGAACCGCAGGAAATGAGCGGGAATACTGCAAGCGCCAGAACCATCAGGGCAAGCGGCTTCAGGCAACCCTTTATCTTGTTGAAATTGTTTACGAGTAGTTTGGGGATCTTGGTATGTATTTTCAATTCTGTCGTGTTGCTTCCTAATAGATTGAGTGGCGGAATCAGTTATTTCGAGAGCGATGCGATTATCTTGCCGTGGACAGTGAAGGCATTGCCCTCAGCTTGCCGATCATTTCGGGCAGTACGGAGAGCAGATAATCTACATCTTCGTCAGTATTTTCCCTGCCAAGCGTGATTCGGAGGCTGCCTTGCGCCATGTCTGCGGAGAGTCCGATGGCAAGCAGCACATGGGACGGCTCCAAGGACGCGGACGAGCATGCGCTGCCGCTTGAGGCGCAGATCCCTGCGAAATCCAGACCCAGCAAGACGGGTTCGCCCTCCACTCCTTCAAATGAAATGTTGACATTGTTAGGGAGACGATGAAGCGAGTGACCGTTGAGTCGCACGCCCTCAATCGTCTCAAAGATGCCTTGTGTGAGCTTTTCGCGCAAACGGAGGCAATGTGCCGAGTTCTCTTCGCGCTCTGTCACGGCCAGATGCAATGCCTCGCCGAAGCCAACGATGCCCGGGACATTCTCGGTGCCCGATCTGCGCTGACGTTCTTGTCCCCCGCCCGCGTTTTGCTCCTCGAAGGGTGTGCCGCGCTTGACAAAGAGCAAGCCTACGCCTTTGGGTCCGTATATCTTGTGGGCGGACAGACTCAACAGGTCAACGCCGAGCGAACGCACATTGATTTCGAGAAAGCCTGCAGCCTGCACAGCGTCCGTGTGCACGATTATGGTCTGGTTGCGTCGCTTTGCCTCTGCCTTTACTAAGCGCGTAATTTCGCTGATGGGTTCAATAGTACCGATTTCATTGTTCGCCATCATTACACTGACCAAGATGGTCTCGTCGGTGATGGCGCTGACGATGTCGGCGGGGTCAACGATGCCATGCTCATCAACGGGGATATAGGTTACATCGAAGCCGAACTGTTCAAGTTGGTAGCAGGTGTGAAGGACAGCGTGGTGCTCTATCGCGGTGGTGATGATGTGGTTGCCTAGGTTGCGGAGGGCGAAAGCTACGCCTTTGAGAGCCGCGTTGTCGGACTCGGTGCCCCCGCTGGTGAAGACGATCTCACTCATGCGGGCACCGAGGAGGTGCGCTATGCTCTCGCGGGCATCGTCCACTGCTTTTCGAGCTTCCTGACCGATTGTGTAGATGCTGGACGGGTTGCCGAAATCATTCGTGAAGTGTGGCAGCATGGCTTCCAGCACCTCCGGACGAACAGGGGTAGTTGCGGAATGATCCATGTAGATGATTCTTTCGGACAATGTCATCGCTTCCCCCCTTTCCTTTACGCTACGGTATGCCTGTGCGAACGGCCTGATGCAACATTCTAGCATGCGGAGGCGATATTGCTCAAAGATTGATAGCCAAAGGATATTGCATATAGCGCCGTGCTCCTGTCAAGAGCGACTAGACGCCGGTATTGCCAATAGGTGTTGGTGGTGTATGCAACATTGTGTTTGATTTCAACTTCACCCCCATCCTAACCTTCCCCCATCGAGGGGGAAGGGACAATATGACTCACATCAGCACGTGTCAACAATACCCAGACGCCCGCGTTCGCAGGAATGACGATTGCCCTTGGTCCGAGATGACGATTGGGACGTTGTCTAGTCTTCCTGCGTGGCGTAGCCGATGAGCTTGTAGGTGAGCTTTGCGGCGGTGAAGGCGCAGGCTGCCGGGCCTTCGGGCGGGCTTAGTTCCACGATGTCGAAGCCCACGATATTTGCCTTGCGGCTGACGGCGCGCAACAGTGCGAGAATCTCGTGCCAGAGCATTCCGCCGGGTTCGGGCGTGCCGACGGCGGACATGATTGACGGGTCGAGCGCGTCCAGATCGATGCTAATGTACACATTGTCGCTGAGATGCTCGGATGTGAGAGTAACTGCTGCCCGGATGTTGTCGCTGGGCTGTGCCGACCAGAAATGAGTTGGTATCCCCTGCCCTTTTATGAAATTCATCTCCTCCGCGCTTACGCTGCGGATGCCGACGAGGATCAGGGGGCATATCTCGTATATGCGGCGCGCGACTGAGGCATGGCCCCACCTTGTGCCCTGATAACTCTCGCGTAGGTCGGCGTGAGCGTCGATGTAGAGGACGGAGAGGTCCTCGTAGAGGTCGCTGTATGCCTGCACGGCGCCGACCGTGACGGTGTGTTCGCCGCCGAGCATGGCGGTCAGCTTGCCACGCGATGCCGCGCTTTTGACCGCGGCACTGACGGTATCGATCATCGCCTTGGGGCGTCCATGTTCGGCTGCACTTCGGGCGTAGTGTGGATGCCGACTTCGGAGATGTCGCGGTCGAGCTCGATATCGTAGTCTTCCAGGTGGCGCGAGGCGTCGATGATTGCGGCGGGGCCGTAGCGCGCTCCGGTCTTGTATGAAGTCGTGCTGTCGTAGGGAACGGGTATGACGAATACGCGGGCATCGCCGGGGTCGGCTTCAGACGGCGGCGTGTCGAGGAATGTGCGCCATTGGAGAGGAGTTTCGCCGAGCCAAGGATAGTCCTGAACTGACATTTCAGTGGGAGTCGCGCGGTGTCTGCGCGGACGCTTCGCTGCCAATGTGGACTCGCTCGCGGACCATACCGTTGTAACCTTCGCGCGGTGTGGCGTAGTCAATGCCGCGTTCAAGAGTCCAGACCTTCACTTCGGGCAGCGAGAATGTGCGCTTTACGATCGAAAGCGAGGAAGTTGCATCAAAGTCTTTGCAGGAGAAAATGTCTATGTTGACATATTGCCTGTCCGGAAAAGTATGGATGCTTATATGGCTCTCGGCGATGATGACAAATCCGGAGACGCCCCAATCCTCGGGCGTCTTTACCGTGATATGTATAGACCTGCGGCGGGACAATCTTAGTCATACCGATGGCTTGAGGGTATTCGTCAAGGAAGCGATAGACGAGATCGGTGTCTTGTAGCTTCTCCGGGGTCGCGCCGTAACCGTCAACAACTAAATGCACTTTTTGCGTCGCCTCCGAGCCGTTCGTCGAGTATTGGAAAGGGCAATTCAGGGTTGAAATAGATTAACACTGATGCTGACCGCGTACAATAACTGTTGATATTGTCTGGTCGGTTTAGATAGAATGCACAATTGCATACATTCAAGGTAGTGGTTGGTCATTAGCTTGCGTGTTGCTGCTGCCCGAGGGCTAACCAGAGACGTCTTGGCGCGTTCTATTGGATTATAGGGAGACTGCGTTACAGACGATGGATGGCGGTAAAAGATGATTGAGCTAGAACATATCAGCAAATACTACGGGGACTTCCCTGCGGTTACGGACATATCGTTTCGTGTGGAACAGGGCGAGATTCTGGGATTTCTTGGTCCCAACGGCGCCGGCAAGTCAACGACGATGAAGGTTATCACCGGGTTCCTTCCGCCGACGGAAGGAACCGCAACGGTTGCCGGCTATGACATCGTGAACGAATCTCTCGAGGCCCGTCGGCACATCGGCTACCTCCCGGAAACGGTGCCGCTGTACACGGACATGGAAATACGGGATTATCTTGCTTTTATGGGCAAGATACGCGGAATGTCTTCGGACTATATTCGCAGGCGGACCGGCGAGGTCATTGAGATCTGCAGACTTGAGGATTACAGCTCGACGCACATTGGCAAGTTGTCAAAGGGATTCAGGCAGCGTGTGGGCATCGCGCAGGCGATACTGCACGAACCGGATGTGCTGGTGCTGGATGAGCCGACCATCGGGATCGACCCGATTCAGGTTGTGGAGACGCGGCAGCTAATCCGAGACCTCGGAGGCGAACATACGCTGATTCTCAGTACGCATATTTTGCCAGAGGTCAGCATGATCTGCGAACGGGTAATCATTATTCATGAAGGGCAGATTGTTGCGGTTGACAGACCGGAGAACTCTGGCGACCCGGCTGCGCGGAGTGGAGCGGATCGAGATTGACGCTAGAGGCCCTTCTCGTGAGATTGCGACGGCGTTAGAGGGTGTGAGCGGCGTGGAGTCTGTGGACCATAGATATTCGCAAGATGGCGGACACTCCACTTTCATCGTGGGAACGAATCCGGAATCTGAGCCGCGCTCGACGCTGGCGCAGACAGTGTTAGGCGGAGGCTGGGAGTTGCTGCGGCTGCAGTCGATAGGGATGTCGCTTGAGGAGATATTCCTGCAGGTTACTACCGAGGAAATTATTCCGGACCCGATTCCAGAGGAAGAGGCAGCCTCGTAAGCAGTCGGAAATTCGACAATCTCTTCGATATGGTCAGTACGGGCCCACGACGGACAGATGCCGGGTTATTGGCGGAATCAGGGCCAAATCGGGAATGACGAGTAAGGATAGAGGATTGAACAATACTATAACGATAGCCTGGAAGGAGACGAAGGCGTACTTCACGTCGCCGACGGCGTACATCGTGGGAGCGATGTTCCTTGTGCTGACGGGCATATTCTTCGTCTTCGACATGACAAGACCTTTTGCGGAAGCGAGCGTGCGGAACTTTGTTTCGTGGGCGAACCTGTTCATAATGTTCGTGGCTCCCCTGCTGACTATGCGCTTACTTGCTGAAGAACAGAAGATGGGCACGCTGGAACTACTGCTCACCGCGCCTGTGCGTGACTGGGAGGTAGTGCTCGGTAAGTACATTGCGAGCTTCTTCGCGCTAATGGTAACCCTCGCATTCACGCTCTATTACGTGATATTGCTGTATGTGTTCGCCACTCCTGACACGGGGCCAATACTGAGCGCGTACTTCGGGCTGGTGCTGTATGGCACGGCGTCGCTCGCTATCGGGATCATGGCATCCTCGCTTTCGGGCAATCAGATTGTGGCGGCAGTGGTTGGGATCGGCATGCTTCTGACGCTGTCGTTTATAGACAGGATTTCCGCCATAGTGGAGGGCGTTGCCTCCGATGTGTTGACTGGCATCTCGATGAACGCCCATTTTACAGACTTCGCCCGCGGCGTTGTCGATACGAGCCATATCGTCTATTACGTGAGCATGGCGGCGGTATTCCTTTTCATAGCTGTAAGGTCATTAGAAACGCGCAGGTGGCGGTAAATGGTAGATAGATTACCGGATGGTGGATCCGGCGGCGGAGACAGCTTCAGTGACCTGATACTGTCTTCGCTGCGATCGACGGGGTTCTGGAGCTTCGTGCTGGCGGTTGTTGGCGTCGTGGCGCTGATCGCCGGTGGAGCGATGTACTTCACGGTCGAGGAGATCAGAGAATTCTCGGTCACTGTGATTGTGATAGGGCTGGTGCTGGTCTTTCTGGCGCTGGTGCTTTCGCCAAGGGCGATAGCAATCTTTCTTGTTGGACGACAGGGGCGCTATGGCAGCAATATCATTGTGCTGACCATTGCGTTCTTCATCATAGTTTTGCTGGTGAACTTCCTGCTGTACAGGAATCCGACTCGTGTGGATGTCACGGCGACGCGGGTGTTCACGCTGTCTGAACAGACGGTGCAAGTTCTTGAAAACATGGATGGCCTGGTGCGAGCAAACGCATTCTTCGTGCCGTCGGACACACGCAGCGCAGCAGCGCAGCAGCAAGCTGAAGACCTGCTCAACGAGTTCACGCGCCGCAGCAATATGTTCAGTTACCGCTTCGTTGACCCAGAATTGCAGCGAAGCGTGGCGCAGCAGTACGGCATTACTTCGTTCCCGGCGATCGTGTTCGAGGACCTAGAGGAAGGGACGCAGCAGAGCGTTCAGTCGTTTACGGAGCAGGGCTTTGTTACAAGCATTCTGATTGTGACGGGGGCGGACCAGAAGATCGTGTACTACCTCACGGGGCACGACGAGGCGGGTTCAACGCGCGATGTTCTGTCGGGGGCAATTGACGAAGAAAACGGGCTTGACTACGCCATTTCAGGGATGCAGCGGGACAATTATAGAGTGCTCCCGCTGAATCTGAAGCAGGATGTGAGCGTGCCTGAAAATGCGGCTGTGGTGGTGATCGCAGGACCTACACAAGACCTCGACACTGAGGAGTTCAGGGCTCTGGACAACTATATCAAAGGCGGCGGCAGAGTAATCGCCCTGTTCGACCCAACGACACCTGACACCTTCAATCTCCTCATTTCTCAGTGGGGAGTGCTGGTTGCTACCAGGGATCCGTTAACCAATAAGCCTCTTAGCATCGCGGACGCGGTGAGCAATGTTGCCGGTGAGGAGCTGACACCGCTGCTTCAGAAGGCGAATGTGCAGTATTCCACGAGCACATCACCGTCCACACCGGGCATACCGATTGCCGACCAGATTGACGTGACATTCTTCCCGGAAGTGACGGCGGTTGACAGGCTGATACCCCTGGAGGAGACGCCGCCTTTCGTGCGGATACTGCCGATTGCGATGACGACGCCCGCAAGCTGGCTGGAATCGAACACGGAAGAGGTGAACTTCAACGCGGGCGAGGAGAGGCTGGGGCCGTTTCCGATCGCAGTGGTGATTGAAGCTACGGGAACGATTGATGAGACGCAGCGCCATCCACTGACAAGGTTGGTTGTGTTTGGCGACTCGGACTTTACCAAGAATAAATTCTTTGCATCGAGCGACAATGCCGATTTATTCCTGAACTCAGTGAACTGGCTTGCGGACGATTACGAGCTGATTTCTATCCGCCCGAAGGTGTTCCCATTCCGTGAGCTTGTGGTAACCACGCGCGAACGCGACTTTATCAAGTGGTCGAGCTGGTTCGTGCCACCGGTGATTATGCTGATTCTCGGTGCAGTAGTGTGGTGGCGAAGGCGCTAGTAGTCGGCCAGTATTGTAGTCAGTCGGTCTATGAGCAACTAACATACGCCCTCATTAGGGCAAAGAGGCGGCTGACAGGGAGAAACACTGGATGAATCTAAAGGCAACGGTGGCAATAGTCGTGGCGGCGTTGATCGTCGGGATTATTGCGTGGAGCAATGTATATGAGCTAGCGTCGAAGCGTTTCGAAGAGGGCAGCCTGGACAATTATCACATTGTGCAGAGTGGTCTTGGACGCTTTGTGCTTCTGGAGAAGAAGGTCGAAAAGTCGCCGTGGTTCTACCAGGTGGCGGAGGATGATATTCGGACGATAGGTGTCAGTTATCTCGACGACAAGAGCGTGAGTTTCTACAAGACAGAAAATAGGACGTGGGCATTCACCGATCCGGAGGGTATTCCGCCGAACTTCACTCGCTGGGGCGGCATAACTCTGCTTCTAAGCGGACCTGGGACGAGGCGAGATCTGACGGCGGTGCAGCCATTGATCGACGATCCGGCACAGTATGGGCTGGATGATCCGGATACGATTGTTGATGTAGGACTGACTGCGAACAGGAGCGTACAGTTCAGGCTAGGTGACCTGACTACGGACGGCAGGCATCATTATGCGCAGGTCGTCGGATTTCCGGACCTGTTCCTCATCGCGTCAAGCTGGGGCGATGTCATAAGCAGGCTTGCGAATGAACCTCCGGTCCCGAAGTGGTATGTGAGCCGAGACCCCAACACGATTGTGGAACTCAATATCTATTTTGGGAATCCCACGACAGAAGATACGCACCTCATCTCCTTCATACAGGACTACCGGACCAACGAATGGAGTGTCATAGACTATGAGGTTGACGAAGTAGGGCGACCTATCGACCTGGAGGTGTGGGAGCCGCTCATTCCCTTAGTGGCGGGGCCTGATGGCATGACGATCGCGGTGCCTGTGGTGGATGATCAGGACTATACGCCGTGGGGCATCGGAGAGGACTCGAATGCGGTCGAGATAAGGTTCTCCGGGGAGACAGACCGAGGCACACGTTTCACAGATGGCGTATTGCTGATACTTGGTGACAAGAATGAGGACGGCA